GAAAGTGAGAGAACGAGAAGCGGTTTATAAGATGGCGAGTTAATGGTGTTGAGATCATTTGATCTCATAAAGAATTAGGGAAATATGGGTTAAGGTTTAAGGTTATCTAGGTTAAAGCTTAGGTTTCTTAGTCAATTTCAAAATTAAGGATAGATTGATTGATCTCAATAGAAATTCATAGAAGACGCACCGGGCTTGAAAGGGAAGACATGAGGTCTATCAATCTAGTTAAGGTGAAGCTTAAAGATGAAGATGGAGAGAGTAGAAGAACTAGGTTTGCAAGGCGAGAAATGAGAAGGGCGAAACGAGAGGAGAAAGAAGGCAAAAGAGATTAAAAAATTAGGTTTTGATCGATTATAATTTGGAGGAAGAATAAAAAAATGTTAGAGGGAGTTATGTATTATATTAGCTTAGGCTCGAAAGAAAGGAAAGGTTGGCTCGCCTAGTGGGCACAGGCCAATGGGCCTAATAACTTTATTTCTAGCCCTTTTCTAGATAAATCAATTTTGATTGTTCTTAAATACATTTTTTTTTATTTCATGCCTAATCTAGGTTTAACATTTTAAATTGTCAAGTTATGTTTATTTAGTTATGCCAAAAATTTTAGATTTTATCTCAATAATTATATTAGATAATTAATAGATGGAAGAATCATCGAGTTTTTCAATTTAGGGACCGATGATGATTCTCCACCAATAAAAAAATATAAAAAAAATAAATAATTAATTAATAATAAAAAGAAAATATAAAATATAAAAGAGAAAAAAAAAGAAAGAAAGAAGAGAAAATACTAGGAAAAAGATAAAAAAAGAAAAGATAAAAATATAGAAAATACTAGATAAAAAATTAATAAAGTCTTCTGTCTAATAGGGATTTATGTTAGGCCAAATTGATCACATCTTAGTAATTAGGTTGTTCTCTAACATATCGGTTATACCAAGACTTATACTTGGATTTAATATTGAATCGACGAGACACCCAATGGAGGGATTCGACAATTATTTTAATATGATGCCACAAAAAAAAAAAATCAATTTGGATTATAAAATATAAATTGGAATTTTGACTTATGATTAATCTTAACAATAATATAATTTTTAATGAGATAAATTTTAAGACAAAACTAGACATGATACATTTTCTAGGAAATGGTGTGTTTGAGTGATTGATATATTCCTTAAGGTATAATCAATTTCTTGCCTAGGAATTTTTAAACCATTATCTATTTTAAGTTTTTTAGTTATCTTTAATATTAGGTGGCGACTCCGAAATTAATAATAACTCACGTTTCTAAATAAACAAAATTTTCAACAAATAAAACCATATAAAAAATTTTAGGAGTTCCACGAATGTTGGGTTGCAACAATATCTATATATAGTAACTCATGGAAACAAATGTTCTCGAATCCAACTGCTAAAAGAATACCAAATTTATCATAATCTTATATAAAAACTAAAAAATCAATCAATAAATAAAAACTGAATAAATAGGTTTGCTTAACCAAACTTATAATAATTATATGAATAAAAATAATTAAATAAAATAAAAATATCAGTTCAAATAAGGATAGTATGACAGGTTATGGGATATAGAAATTCTACAAATTAAATAAAAACGAAATTTAATCGGATTGAATGATACTAGGTATGGAATCGTTTTTTTTTTTTTTTTGACCTTTTTAAAAAAGTAACAATAATAATACAGAGAAAACGGCTGTAGCGGCAGAAGTCGAAGCCTTCCACCACTCAAGACTAGTTGAAAAGTCAGATAATAAATCAGAATCTTTACTTTTCCGAAGTAGTCAAACTCAATAATGGAACATGTCTAATATTAAATCAAGTAAAAACCCAAAACCATCTATTATTTTATTGATCGGTCCAAAGAAAAAGAAAAAGAAAAAGAAAAAGGACGCTTGTGCAGTTGTACCACATTACGCGGCTAGCAGAAGCCTTGTCATTTGTTAAAAGCAAAAGTTCAATATGCTTATATACTTGACGTTGATTATGTAAAGACTGCGAAAATAATTATCCAACGTCCACTGAATACTAGCTGTGACTTCGGCAGAGTTAACTATAAATTAGTCTCTTTATTTTCAAAAAATGAATCTATTAATCCTTTTTATTTTAAAATTTAATTATTTAACTAATATTGTTTGTGTTTAATTTAATATTATTTTATTTAAAAAATAATTTATTTTCTCACCAATCTTTCCATGTGTTTTATTATTATTATTTTTCTATTTCCTAAAACAAAAAATTAAAAATTAAAAAATAACATGTAATCAATAAAAATGATTGGATAATTAGTTTTTGAAACACAGAAACTACTTAATTGGTTTTTTTCAAAACTAAAAATACTAATTTATAATTTACTCAGACTTTGGCAATATATATATATATATTAGAAGTACACAGTGAGAACGAAGCAGGTGGAGTCCGTAGCTTTTCCAAAATTTTCCTTAATGTATTACGCTATGAAAAGATATAATATTTCCTCAATGTAATTCAAAATTGAACTAATTAACAATTCTATTAAATTTTATATGATTAAAATAATTTTTAAAAATGAAAATAATATATAAAAATAAAAAATCATATCAATTTTAGTTACATATCAATTAATACATGTATGTTATTGTTAGTTGATGAAATATTGAATGATGGATCTTCGTGAAATATGGAAATATTTTCTATATGGGAAATATGAACACCTTATTCGAGTAAGTGTTCCATGCTTAAAAAGAAAGTGTCGATAGCATTACTCTAACTTCTAGTCCGTTTAGATTGTTGCAATCAAGATGCAACGTGGATCGAATGTTCGTCAAAAAAAGGAATGTTCTTTCATGTAGCTCCTTGATGCTTTTTAAAAGAAAATACTGCCAAAATTGAAAAAGAATAAAAAGGAAAAAAAACGAACAAGAAGAAGAAAGAAAGTTCTCTTATCCCAAAGCATAAAAAGGAGTTATATATGTGCCACACACCATATTGCTAAGAATATGTGCCATTAACAGCCAAACTCAATTATAGTATAGCAGTAAATGGTACATGTAAAATTCTTTTTAAGCTTTCTTTAATTGTATTTTTAACGGACCAATTTGTAAAAATTAGGTTTGTTGGATTTATTTTATCATTATTTATATCTTATCATATAGCGTTAAAGCTCAATACTCAGACACTAACTATTTACCTTATTTATATATTTTTCATAGCATATTTTCATTCATATCTGTAATTTAAAAAAAAAGGTAAAAGAGGAAACCTGCCCGAAAGTTTGGTGGAGGTAAAAAAAAATCCCCCTCGATAGTCGATACCCTAATTGATATAGAGTGAGTATGGACTTGTTATCTCTGACCCAAATTCTACGGATGCTCCTGTAAAAATTATAAAAAATAAAATCACTAATATAATAAATGTCTAGATATCACAATTAATATTAATTTTCTTTAAAAATAAAATATAAAAGTAATTTTAGTAGTCTTGTGTAATTTAATAGTAATTATACTTCAAAAGTGAATTCATTTGTACTTTCTCCGATAGAATACCTTCTACCAGCCTGAACTTTTTATTTTTTATAACAGAAACTTTGATGGATGGATGGACCAATAGTTAAGTTTGCTTAGCAAGGAAAACGAAGCTTTATGTCCCTTTTGTTTTGCATTTTCCTTTTGCAAATTTGTATAATTCACTGATACGTAAGTATTGATTTATACATTAAATTTAAATTTTGATTTTTGTGATAAGTGTTTATGATAATTTATTTTCAGAATATCCGATATTGTTATTTTAAAACCTATTTTTTAACCACGTTAAATTTTTTTTAAAAAAATACATAAAAACTAAATTAAAAAAACTTACTGTTTAAGAAAAAAAAATCAATGGTCAAAAAGTTAATATTTTTGGCACTTTTGTTTTTCATTCTTTATTAAAAGGGAATGTTTTCTTTTTCTCGGTAACAATCCAAAAAGCGAGTGTTGGCCTTTTCCCATTTGATCTATTCTTAAGTGGGACATACCGCCTACGATTGCATACATATCAACCAAGTTACAATTATTAGCATTTTTCTTTTAAAAAAACATAAGATTTTAAGAGTTAAAAGTCAAAAGAATTCTAATCCCGACAAACTCTAAACTGATCATTGTTTAGGAAGAAAGACATTTTATCTCAAGCAGCGAATCGCAACCCGTATTGGTGGAACCTTTGGGCTTTTTCTATATTTGTCGGAGAAAATACTATATAGTAATTTGGTCCTCGTAATGTCAATTTTATACATATTGGTCATACTATACTATATATTTTTTTTCAGAAGGAATCCATCCACATTATATTTTAATATTTTATTTATATAAATTAATTATGCTAAATTTTAAGGCAATCAGATAATTAATCAAAAGTGCACATATCATGCATAATTATGTCAATTAAAAACCCAATTTTTATAATAAAAAAGATATTCAATTGATTAAATAATTTTAAATTTCATATACGTGATCTATGACATAAATAATAATCATAATAGTAAAAACATCAGGATAAAATATAAAAAAACAACACACCCCTAAAAGGACAAGAAAGTTAAGCCATCAAAACTGCCGAACCTGTCGTTTCCCTTCCCACCTCTCTCCAAACTTCAACGGCTGGAGTCAAGTTCTGCATAGAATCTGGGAACTCAAAACAGCTGTTGGTTGATCTTGATTCTGTTTTTGTAGGAGTCAAATTCCATTTAGAAACAAACTCTCCTTTCCCCCTTCACTGTCGAGTTGGTGTCTGTCACTCATTCTGTGCCCATCGATATCATCACCAACCATCAACCATTATATTCTTTGGCCTTTCCATCACCAAAAAGACCAAACCTGAATTCTTGTTCTTTTTCCAATTCAATCCCTTTTAAAACGTTAAAAAGTTTTGGTTTGTTTGTTCTTGAACTACACAACTGGGTTTTTGGAAATTCTTTGTAGAATGTTTTGTGTCTGTGTTTAACAGAAGATTGTAAGGGAGAGAAAATGTTGAACTTTAAGGAGTTTTGGACCAAGAAAACATTGGTGGCTCTTGGATTGGGACAGTTTCTCTCTCTTCTTATTACTTCTACTGGATTTTCATCCTCTGAACTTGCTAGAAAAGGTGCAATTCCTGTTTTCTTCTTTCTCAAGCTTATTAAAGATTTAGTTTTTATGTCTTTGCTTGCTAAGAATTCTTTTCCTTTTTCCTCCCTTAATAAGTAGCTGTGTTGGTATTAGAATGCAATATTTTTCAATTTTTTTGGGTGCGTTTTTGATGAAGTAGTATTCTAACTTGGTTCTCTGTAAATATTTTCCTTTTCAATTCAGGAATTAATGCACCAACTTCTCAATCTTTTTTAAACTACGTCTTCTTGGCCATTGTTTATGGAAGTATTATGCTTTACCGGAAGCAAGCACTTAAGGTGGTTTTCTTTGCTTCATCTTTTTTACTTCAATTTTTCATTCCCATTATTTAGTAGATGTAATTAATTAAATTAGTGGATAAGTTAAGTGCAAGTGAACTCATTTGCTGAGTTTACCTCAATAATTGGAGTTTTCGTGTGAGTGGGAAGTGATTGGTTAGAAAAAGCATGTATTCATTGGATTCTCGTCGTTAAGTTGTGGGAATGCTGTGGATGGGTGTAAGAAAGTAGGGACATAAAGAATTAAAGTAAATCCCGGTTGTTCATTCGTTGAGGTGATAGGAGAGTTCCTGATGAGATAATTCGTCAGAGTAGAATATTGATGCAGAGGCAATATAACCAATCTGAGTTGGTAGCAAAGAATTTGGGATGACAATTCTTTTTGTTCAATGGTCTTTTTCGTTGTTTTCCTTTTTCTTGGTTGTAATTTTAATATGAGATGATAATGTTGTTGTATCTTTTGGAATTTGTTCAGGCAAAATGGTACTACTACGTGATTCTTTCATTGGTGGATGTTGAGGCCAATTTTCTTGGTGAGTATATTCCTCTAGTGGTGGTACTGTCTTGGTATATATGTCCTGTGTTTTACTGCACTACTGTTGACTTTTTAGCTAAATATTTGGACTAGCTACATTTTTCACTTGCCTGCAATTTTTTGTTTTTTTGTTTTTTTTTTTGCTTTCTACTGATCTTGTATTTTTAGCATCTACAGATTAAAGAATCCTGAAGATATAGGCTGCATTGCTAGGGAATTGCATATCTCTTGATTATAAAGCAATTAATCAATATGGTATTGGTGGTCTTTCACTGAAGCTCCACACAATCTCTCGTATTAGTATCTAGTTGTGATTCTATAAACGTGTATTAAGTATTCAAATAGATAATTGCATCTTGTGGTATGGTAAATCATGAAGCTGGTTACTTCTCACACATTCTCAGCAGTATGAAGTTGCACTTGCATATGCTGCTGATAATCCGTTCTGCTATGTGGTTGAAACAATTCTTAAAAGAATTGATGAATTAACAAACGGGAACTACATATTCTACCTTGATGTCACTGACCTTACTGGCACTTGCATTGTAAATTTTCAAAAACAAATACCACTTAGGCTTTTCAATTATGATAATTGATCTTATCTTCATATATCGGCAGTGGTGAAGGCCTATCAGTACACATCAATCACAAGTGTCATGCTGCTCGACTGTTGGTCAATCCCTTCAGTTATGGTTCTTACATGGTTTTTCTTGAGTACAAAGTACAGATTCAAGAAAATAGCTGGAGTAGTTGTTTGTGTTGCGGGCCTTGTTATGGTTGTTTTTTCAGATGTTCATGCTGGTGATCGATCAGGTAAACATATGCTGTTGTGTTCAGTTTACCATAACTTTGTCCTGCCTCTTTAATTCATTTTCCTATAGTGTTTCCACGACCTTTTACCATCATTTTGTAATAAATGTTAATATAGCTTTTGGAGGGAATCTTTTCCAATTCCTTTTAGTTGCCTTTGGAGAGAGTTTGTTATGTTAGTGTCTTGATAGTTTCACTTGCTTGTAAGCCAGGAAAGGGTTGTTTGATATTTCTCTCGTCTCACTCTCTATATGAGTGTGCTAGATAGGAGAATAGTTTACTAAATACATGTGTGGTTTCGTTCATGGTCATGCATTTGTGGTTCCTTCTGGGATGTGGCTATTGATCTATTGAGTGCAGAAAGCTAATGAAAACAGTAATGCATACAGCTGTGAGCTAACATGTTCTAAGGTATTATCAATTACCTTGTATGCCTAAAGTCCCTTGTGCTGGAGATACTGGCTCTACTTTAAACTTTCCATATTCAAGATGCAACTGTAGCAATGTTGTTGTTGTATGCTATTTCATATCCATTTCCATTACAGTTTTGTCTCATAGTATTGAATGCTCATCTCTTATAAGTAGCTTTTTTTCTTGTAGGAGGGAGCAACCCTCGCAAAGGAGATGCTCTTGTTATCGCTGGCGCAACGCTGTATGCTATAAGTAATGTCAGTGAGGTAAGCCAAGTTGCATGCTATAATTTTGTCGTGCTGAATATCAGTGCACGTCCTCTGATCCTCCATTGTCCTTCCATTTGCTTGTCTATGTCTTCTTCCATTTGGCAGTTTTTTTCTCATGAGCTTACTTTTTGAAAGAAGTGTTACTGATATTCCGCTTAGCTGATTATAGAGTATAAAATGATCTTAGTCCATTTATTTTTTTTTTTGGTTTTCGGTTTGGCTTTGGGAGACAAGTTAAATAGCTGTCACTCTCTTCTTAATATTTGCTGAAAAAATTTTACATATTAAAAAGGCAACCAAAAACAAAAAATAAAAAGACAGAAACAGGGAGAGAAAGCTAGCTTAATTTGATCTTGCTACATTCATAGTACTGCTTGATATTTTTTATTTGATGTTTGGGTTTGAATTCGGTTCTCCAGATATTGGTTAGAAGGTTTATTATTTATGAATTGTAAATAATTCAAACTCTTACTTTTTATTCATTATTTCAAGACAGTGGGGACTTAAAGTAAGACATGTTTCAATGATATATATTATTTATATTTGTTCCAGTCAATAGAAATGGTTGATCTACATATTATTTCCATCTGTTATGCAGGAGTTTCTTGTGAAAAATGCTGATAGAGTTGAGCTCATGTCGCTGCTGGGCTTTTTTGGTGCCATAATCAGTGCCATTCAAATGTATCCTTAACTTAATGGCCAAGGTTGATAGCTACGAGGAACATCAACTTTTTTACTGATGAGTTACCTTATTTTATTCGCGTAAATTGTTTAATCGTTCTCTAGGTGATAGACTTCATGATATCCAAAACTCATGATCATTTGGCTAAGTTGATTGTGCTGTTCAATGTGGGTAAAATGTTGTTGTCGTTGTTTTTTTTCCTGCAATTTGTATCCCTTAGTGATATCTACAGAGGTCTTCTGGAGCGTGAAGAAGTTAAAGCGATTCAGTGGTCAGCTGGTGCAGTATGTTTTTTGTCCATCCTCTTCTTCCAAAGCATATATATCTTACATTTTGCTTTTCTTTTATTCGTGTTCTCTTGACACAAATCACAATATAATGGTAGCTTGACAACTGATGGCTTAATAGTTCTGTATAGGTGTCTTTGTTATTTACTTCTGGTGTTAGATGATGCTTAACTGAAATCAATTTAAATACATCAGTAAAATGGCTCAGACGAAATAACATTCAAGAGAAATTTGAAAATGATTGTGGGATTTAAATATTCATTCCGGTATCAATGGGTTTGATATTGATGGAGAATTGATTTGTCCTTAAATATATGCAGATAGAAAGTTTTGATGATTATTCATGTTTAGAATTTAATTTCTTATGTTTGCTTTATGTTTTGGTTTCAGGCTCTTCCTTTCTTTGGATTTGCAGTGGCAATGTTTTTGTTCTACTCATTAGTCCCGATATTGCTTAAGGTATGGATGTGAGTTACCTTAGGACTAACTAAAGGTTTGTAAGAACATGGCCTGCCGTTGGAATGAGAGCTTGAAATTAGAGGTTGAAGGATGATGGTTGATTGTGAGCTACCTTTTGAATTGAATATCTTTTTCAAAATTTATAGCTTATATGTAGCACATTACAATCTTCTTAGCACCTAAAACACCGGTTATATTAATTGGAATCTGTTCAAATCCCACATATACACTGCCAATGTTTAACTTGCATTTTTATCAGTCCTTAATTACTCTATAAATTGATGGTGTGTTTTCATTTTTAGTCACTTTATCACCCATCAATAATTAGCACTAATTGAATGTATTGTGAGATGGTGCCAGACCATCCATTAATAGGGCATGAATATGTGAGGTATGCCTATGTTTCAACTTATGTAATCTATGACGGTGTGGTGCTAACATGAAAGGAGCTAATCCTTATGTATGAGTTGTGCTCCAGTTATTATGTAAATTTGTACTCCTTTTCTGTTAGGGAGCTTGAACTGGTGCTACTGTTAGCCTCATTGTTTTCAATTTTTGACATAAAATTTTATTCTTGAATGCCAAGCTGGCATCAACTTCATTGTATGTCTTAGCTTCAGAGAGTTCCATCTCTTTTTTACATGTTTTCACAAGCCCAGGAAGGGCACCATCTTATCATTTCTTCTAAATTTAACTTTTTAATAGCTACAATTGTAACTTCTGTACAAATGCAAAATTCAGTGTGATATTCCAAAGAGTTTTATTCGATACTAGAGGACAAGGTGTTAATTAGGCTGACCTCATGGATGATTTATAGTGCATGCATGTGCTCACTTTGATATTCTTACTCCCATTATTTACAGATTAGTGGTTCCACAATGCTCAACTTGTCTCTGCTGACATCAGACATGTGGGCTGTTGTGATTCGCATCTTTGCTTACCATGAGAAGGTTTGTCAACTAATAACATTGTGTGAAAGTGAGAATTCAAGTATTATGCAAGTTCAAATATTTACATATGGAATTTTCTCCATGATGTCAACATTTTTCAGGTTGATTGGATGTACTTTGCAGCCTTTGCTGCTGTTGCTGTTGGGCTGGTCGTTTATTCAGGGTATGCAATTTTTTTCATTTTTCTTTGAATCTTTCTCTCCATCGCATGAGATAAATTCAAATGAATAACAAAAAACACCTCTGTATTTTGCTGTTTATCTAAGCTCCTGTATCAGATGCACTAACTAGCAAACTAGTGAAGTTTGGGTTTGAATCAACTGTGCGTCCTTACAAAGCTCGACTCTGTTAGGGTTCCAAAGGTTGGATTATGGAAAACATTTTTGGATGAAGTAGGTCTGACTGAATTTGATGCAAGGTTCAAAACACAGTAATACTTAGCCATGTTAGGCTTGTGCACAAGTTTCACTTAACTACATGAAAAGGACCTCTCTGATGTTAAAGTGGTCAGGCTATTCCTATGTCTGTAATGTTGAGCATGCTTTATTCATTTTAGTTTTCTTGGCCCATCACTGTAAGTTACTTGTCTGTGAAGACACATCTGCAATATTCCTAATGCTCTGAAGATAGGCTAAGGTCTAATTCCAGTTGAATCTTTAGCTTTCTGTTTTCCTTGTCTATTAGTTTTTTCTTTTCCTTCAATTTTTTTTCTTGGCATTTTCTGGCTGTACTCGTATTACCATTTCCCCTTGCACTAGGCTATTGTGTTAAAGTACCATTTTTATTTGAGTCTTTGCACATGAGTGGTACAGCCAAGCAGTGCTTTTTTGAAATAGAAATTGCTGAAAATGAAAGAAGTTTAGGGTCCCTTATTTGGTACAGGGAGAATAAAGAGGTTTTGTGAAGTCTAACACTGTCAAAATATGTGTTTGCACAATTGCAGAATGGCCTGGGTTTACTTTCTATATTGCACAATTGATTTTGGAAGTTGAGTTTGTTGCCTAAAATCAGTCATTGTCCAAAGAACAAAAACTAGGAATGCTGCTACTCTTTTAACATTGTAATAAAAGTTCACTAGTATTGAAGCTCTATGCTTCACGAATCAATATACATTCATGGACAGCTTGGTTTTGGAAAATGGCTAAGTGGCATGTGGTTAGAAAATGTCTGATATCAATGAAATTGCAGTCCGGTGCTTGAGAATGAAAAATGAATATAACCACTCTTCTCCTGTGGTCTTCATTCAACCTTCGAAAATATGATGATAGGTCATTTTCTCCCTTCTCTGAGCAAACCATATCATATGTGCCCAACTCTTATGCTCTTTGTGCAGGGGTGACAAGGAAGAGGATCAACGCTGTGCTGATGTTGCTGATGAAGATGCTGAGAGAAGTAAGCACTTCGATGAGGAGGCTTGTTCTGGAATTCGCAGTCAAAAATCTGTACTTGGGAGCTCAAAAACCAGGGATGGTACCAAGCGTGATCTTGCTAGCACCAGCATTGGAGGTGAGCAAAACATTGAAAACAAGAATGTGGGAAATGATGTATGGGGGAAGAAATCATGATCAGGCCTTAGAGGCAGAAAAGACATTGAAAACGAGAACACAGGTAAAGTTGCAGGAGCTAGAAAACACTGACTTGGGATCCGCTTTCAGGGATTAGGAAGGGCACAAGTCTCCCTGCTAGTGCAAAATACTCTAGATGTCTGCTAAGTTGGGGTATCGGTTAGTAGAAAAGGAGGTTGACAATAAATCAATTAAGTTTCCAAGTAATTTTTCATGCACAATTGCATTTCTCATTTTCGTTCATCTTCCTACATTGTATTACACTTTGTAAGGGCACATTATTTAGATCATCAGTCATCATTTGACTTTTGAAGTATGTTTTTAACCTTTCTTAATTTTTAGAACGTGTTGGGGTTTGTTTCACCAACTTGACGAATGGTTTTTGTCGAAAGCGTGAAAAACCTCTTTCTTGGGGGCAACGGCACAGGATATCAAACTTACTTGCCTAAAAAGGGAAAAAAAAGAAAAGAAAAGAAAAGAAAACCCTAAAACATACCAATTTTTCTAGATTTGCTTCCTAATTTCATCAGCAGAAGTGGCTAAGCTTAAACATCGTAAGTGCACAGCCAAACATTTTTGCGACCTCTCCCTCCTCCCCACCCTAAGATTTTCCTCAAGAGCTTGAAAACAGTTTTTTTTGGTTTTGAAAATGTTGAAAACATATACTTTATACACCATGCAGGCACATGAACAAAATTGACTGTTTGTGAATCCGAAAGCAAGCTTAATTGGGGTGCAGAGCATAAACAAATTCAGGCACGTTAATAGATTAGAGGAACAGAATGGCTCCATCTGATCCTTTATTGAAATAATGTACAAATATGTTTGTATAACAACCTGTTGCTAACAAATCTTCACCGGGTTAAAAACAAAGGGGAAAAAAGGGAACAGCTAAGCCTGCGCTTTATTTAAAAATAAATCCCTCATTACGATTAGTTACATGAGTACATGAGGAGAACTATGACTTCAAGTCCCCGAGGCCATCTTTGTGATTTCTAAACTTTTTTCGGCGAGACCGAGGGAACAACAGCTGATGAATCTGCTTTTGTGCAGCAAGTTCACAGGTAGCCTGCATATTATATAGACAAAGATCAGCAAAAGTGCAACCTTTTTGCCCTGGATACTCTGTCAAATCAAGCTAGCCAAAACAGTGAAACACGCATAAATCAGTGTCATTCAATTTGAAGAAAAATGGATGCCTTTATTAATTCCTAAGGCACCAGAAAAGCTTAAATGTTTTCTTGCTTGTGAAGTTAATGAGTATAAGTTTTCCTGCATAACTAAAAAAGTTGGCAAGAAATGCACATGGATGCAAGAACACATTCCCCTCGGTACATGAAACATCCAACTCTTGGGAGAGTGGTGGACACTTCGCAAAATGTATCAAGTGATTTGAAATTTTCGAAGACAAAGAATAAGGCTAATACCGAGGGACACCTTTGGAATGAGACATGAGCGACTACTATGCTATTACAAAACAACTGTTCTACTTTATGGACCAAATTCAAAAAAGATGGATATATATAAAACATGCACATATGCTTGAAATAAGATTGGTTTCCAGTTAATTCTTTAACAAATAGCACTAATGTGCAAAAGAACTTATCCAGCATATTTGACATTATGCTCGAAATAAGATTGGTTTCCAGTGAATACTTTAACAAATAGCTCTACTGTGCAAAAGAACTTATCCAGCATAGTTGACATTCTGTTTCGACTTTAGTAGGAACTAGACAATCTGGACATTTACAATTATACATTAGACAGGCTTTCACAAAAGGAAATCTATTAGCCAACATAGCCTGGACAATGCATTGTCTATTCTACATATCTCAACTGTGCATTAGATTACTTACGCGGACTTTGAAGGGGAATCGATGAGTTCGTGCTTCCACCCCAGAGAAAATTCTAACATCCATGCCAAGGCTATCAACCCCGACCAAATTAGCTCCCTGCATAAATTCAAAGGGAATGCATCATGAAAAGGAAAGGAAATAGACTGGCCAACTATGAATGACTGCTTGAACAGGCGTGCAAACAGAAGGTTATCATAAATGCTGCAGAAGTGTCTTAAACAAAGATATACGAATGTTGCAAAAGAGCCTCCAATCAAATTCCTATTTCTAATCTTCGTCACAATGATTGGGTATCCTGGTGTGGTTTTTTCAGATAGCCTGATATGGTTTACAACCAAACAAGAACCGATGGAATAGCATATTGGCTAGCTGTATCTTTGGACATCCACTTTCATGCAAATTAGGTTTTTATAGCTTATAAATAAACACAAAAGGGCAAAACGAGATAATTTCCACTAATCAATTTACAGCATCCTCTTTGAGAGCTTATTTTTTGATGGATTTCAGATGCCTTTCATCAGGGCTTTATTGAGTATTAGACTGCTTTTTGCTTTTTTTCCATCTTAGGTAGTACTAGAATACTCTTTGCAATTGATTTTGGGGTAAAATGTACCAGGACCCCTATGCTATTTACCAAAGCACAAATAGTCCCTGGACTAACTATTCAACAGAGACAATCCCTAAACAAAAGTAGGGGTAAAAATTAGTCCTCCTGTTAAGCTGAGTTGGGTTTCCGTCCATTTTAACTGTCACATGACTAGCACGTTTTTTTCCCACTTTCCTTGTTGATGCCATCTCAGCCATCCATCATGCCATTCATTTGAATCACTTTTCATTCTTGTCAAATTTAGCTTTGGTAAAAAGATAATTGTTTTTAAATGTAAATTTAATAATAAACACAACCAAAATTGAAAAAAGAAAATCAAAATCCTCTTTTTTTATAAATCAGTTATTGAAAGAAATGAACGACAGCAAATATGGAGAAAGGAATCACATTTAGGATTGGTAAAATTAGTGGATACAAACCCTGTAATTGAAATGTCCTTCCTTCTCATCATGAAGATTCAAAAACTCAATTACTCCATAAGTTCAAAAATTGTAAAGACTGTAATTTCTTTAGACGATCTCTCTCTCAATTCAACATAGTTATCAACACAACCATTCCTTGGTAGTGTATTCACCACATTATCAACCCAATTACTCCCATCAGTTTCAATCTTACCTTTCTCGCTAACACAACAGAATAATTAATTTCTTCAGCTCTTTCTTCATCCCACCTTCCTCCAAATATCTTCGAGATCTTGATTGCAGATTTGGATCTGCTCTCCTCCAACCAGACGACTGGAATTTGCATGACTTTCTTTAGAATTGCCGGCATCGTTCTATGATGGATTTGGATTTGATAAGAACAGGAAGGGGAGATATGGTAGTGGGGAGAGCGAGACTGCACAGATTATCTCTAGATTCCTTAATAATATCACAACTTGACAATGATTGTGTTGGTGATGGGTAGTGGTGCAGCAGACAATGAGGGGGTTCCATTATGATTTGGGTTTTGATGGGGGATTAATTTGAACTGTAATTGAAATGGGGTTTTGGATTTTTAGGGACTAATTTTTACCCCAATTTTGTTTAGGCATTGTTTGCACTGAATACTTAGTACAGAGACTGTTTATGCTTTGACTGATAGTGCAGGGAGCCCTGGTACACTTTACCCTTGATTTTATGGCAACACATGGAATTCAGATAAAATTTGCAACAACAGAGATAGGAAAGACATGAATCGTTCAAGAGTGGTATGATGGAATTGTGAAAACAATAGTTTTTGCAATCAGGATTTTTCTCATAGCCTATCTATTCATAAATGCATTTTTGGTTTTCAAGATTTTCATGAATGCAGATTATACTTGATGAAAAATTTTGGAAGTCGTGGTCAAAACTAAGCTATTAGGAGTTTAAGGAGATTCTTGAAGATCAAAGGATGGAGCTTACTTGTAAACTACAAGATGATGTGATAGAATGATTAGATCATTTTCAGTCTTGTCCAGTTTGACAAGGCAAGTTTAAAACCAGTTCACTGGCAAGAATGGAAAAGGTGATATTGGAATTACACAGGTAATTGAATGTTTTGTTCTGCCTAAAAGTGTTGATGCATGTACAGAAGTATGGGGGTATAAGTAAATTCAAGATTTCAACAATAACTTACAAGTTCGATTGAAGAAGGAACTGCTTTGCTGCAAATTGTTGTTCAAAAAAAATAAATTAAAAAAATTAACAATAAAGAACCTGGTATCATAGCAGTCCATGATAATTTTCTGAAAGAGTTTCAAAAAGGTGGAAAACAGAAGAATGTAAATTGTTGGGGCTCAAGTTGAGAAGAACTTGAAGAGCAAAAGATGCTGACTTTATTGAGAAAAAAAAACAATCAGTAGTTGGTCCTGTTAAATCCCAAGCTGATAGTGCAAGCGTTAATTTTGATTCTGAGTATCAAAGAGCCACAACATGTCAATTTTTTGGTTGGGAATTTTCTTTTCCATGATCATCCATTTATTGATTTGTCAAGAAGGGTTTTTAAGCTATGCAACTTTTGAAAGAAGTTTTAAGTCCTTCATTTTGCTGTTTAACTAGAGTGTAAGGTTTTCGTTTTATTTTTTATTTTTTATTTTTCCAAGTGAAGGGGTTAGACAAGTTTTGGCAACCAAGAGAGAAAATTAAAACAGCGACTTAACTATGAGTACTTTGGATAGCATACATAGAACAACAAAGACAAGATAATGCACATGTTAAATTTTTATCAGAGATTAGTTTGCAAGTGCATATAACACAGTTTCACACATCCAAGCAAACAAGAAATGTTTTCTGCAGATCTAGCAAATAAATACGCTGTGTAAAGCTTGCACATAATTTCAAACGAGACACCAAAGTATAGAAGGATAGCAATCTAAAGCATTTATTTACCTCAACATAAAGACCCTTCTTCTTACAAAGAGCTTTGAGAGCAAGATTGCATCTACTTTCCTTTTCGCTAAAGTGCTCTAGAATTGCTGAAGTAGAGTGTGCAAGGACATCAGGCTCTGCATCTTGAAAATCTTGAAAACTAACCACAGACTGCAATATCCAAGGAAATGCACTGTTGTAATGGAACAAGGATGAAGTGGAGTATGTGGAAACCACTGCAGAAACAAATTATACAATGCTTTCCCTTCAATTAGAATTTAATAATGGCTGAAAAAAATTATAATTCCGAAAGCAAAGGCCTTGATTAAAAGAGCAATTATATTTTTACTTTTTTTCAGTTCACATTTGTCTTAATATGCTTCAAAGAAAACTCTATCCCCCTGCCCCTGCAAGCTGGGCTCCCAACCACCCGAAATAAAACATTAAATGCCATGCAGGTCATGATTTATGTGCTACAAATATGGTTATGATGTACATACCTGAGACCCATACAATGAAAATAGTTCTATTCTCATGATCTCCAAACGGTGGAGAGTTGAGCCACAACTTCTTCTATCGCTTTTGGAGCCAAAGCTCAAAATTTCTCCATCTAAAGAGGCAAAAGGGATAAATATGACGGAATACTTACACGTCCACATAACAAGTATGTTCTAATGCAAATGAGAGACAAAGCCAACTGAAAATGTTGGTTTTGATAGCTCAGATTTATATACTTAATATCAAGAGCTGCCCTGATTGAATAAATATCAAATATCAGGCGCACAGCTCATTGTTTTAAATGGTGAAAAGTTACATAAGAACGATCACCGAAGAGTATTGGCTGGGAAGCAAGCCATCCCTAAAATCCAACTTGGTGTAGATACTCAATTCATAATCGACGAAAGCATTTATTTTGTCCCTTAAAGTATCCATCTGATTTCAGTATCCCCATCATTCACACTCCACTAGTGTGATTCAGCTGAAGGTAGTTCCGGTATGTGAAGGGTAGGAACAAAGAACAGTAAAAACAGCAAATGAATAGAAACATGGCTTAAGCATGAGTAGAATTGAAGTTGGAATAAAAGAGTAAGGTTTAGGCTTGAAAAAAACCTCTTAACTTTCGTAATTGATCAATAAAATAAGTTGTTTTGTAAAAATAGCCCTAACAGCAGATCTGCACTAGTTAAAAGTTCTCAATTCTAATCGTTATAGAAAAAGAAATTATTACTGGTCCTAATTGAGTAATGTTATTAGAAGTCAAATGCTAGTAACATGAGAACTAGAAATCCTACAAGGATTCCTAACAAAACGAAAATCGATAAGCAAACTTTAGAAGTTTCTGCATTAGATAGTTTGAAAAGGTAAGCATAACCATTAGATACCTTTCCAGTCTGAATTATATCCATCACTATCTTCACAGTGAAATGACCTTCTTAAGTATGATTCTTCATCAGCAAAAGCTGGTCTCAGACAACCCACAATAGAAACTCCATTTGATGGATGGTTCATTTTTCTATTGTATTCCATATTGATTGCCTATGAGGATGCAAACATTCAGTAAATTAAAACAGTAAAATATAAATAAAAGAATAGGTTTTTTCATATCATTTATCATGTACCTAACTCAACCAATTTACTCCTGACCTAATTTGTGGCATGAAAAAACTTTTAGATGCCTCTTCTATTATTTTTTAATTGCTTTCACCTTTTCTTCTCAGAAATGTTTTCTTTTGAGAGATTTATGGGGAGAATTTCTCTTAGTATTCTTCTTTGCATAACATGTTCTGGTACCTAATTTCTTTATTTTTTTGCCTATTAAAATCCCTAATCTGATTAAAGGTTTGGTTTAGTTTATACAATTTTCACTTAAATTTTAGTCCCTGTGGAATCAAGATTTGTTTTCTGCTGAGTGTGCAATTACAGATCAACAGTTCTTTGTATTTTGGTTTTTCATGGTGCATAAGCTGGACACATGATAGATAATATAGAAGGGTTTTGAGAGGGTGCCACAGTTTCCTAAAGTTATTGTCCTATAAGAATGTATAGGGCATTTCGAAATTGCAATTTCAATGTTTAGGGAAAAAAAAAAAAAACAGAAGCAATGACACAAAATCTGCTTGACACATGAAACGGGCATTTGGTAAAATCTCCTTAAGACCAACTGATTGTCCTCCAAAACATACAAATTTAGCTAGTCCCAGGCCATTTCCATGGTGGTATGGCAGTTATGATTCCTCCATTAGAAGTCTAGAATTCTTATAAACCCTGGCTTTGGTAACGACCATGTACAACAATTACTAACAAAAACAGTTTAACACCAAATATCTTAAATTGAAAGAAGACTAAAAAATATTAATAATGATTGCCAGTCAACAATCTTCATTAAATTCAGACCTTTTTAGATTTCCAAGAACAGTTAAAGAATAATGAATACTTCCGCCCAAGTCAGTAATCCACTATATTAACTAGGAAACTAAGTTGTAATCACCTTTGTCATGCACTTGGCAAAATAAATAGGATGAACCAAGCTGGAAGTATCTGGCATTCCCCAATCAACTGGAACTTCAGACACTTCAGAATCCATTACCTATTTGATGTTCATGTAACGTCAGTTTGCAAAACAACTCAAACGGGTTTACAAGATTCATCCCAGAAATGAAGAGAAGCAATTACTAACCTCAAAGTAATCCTCATCGAATGGTATCTCATCTTCACTGCCAACGTTGAAAATATTGTATTCATTGGCTACCTTTTTATTCTCATAGATTGGGATATCCATCCCGATCAAAACATTCTGAAGAGAATGCATGAATACTTTAAGAAGCAATTCCATTTCATGCAACTCAACCAACAGAAAAAAGATTATTAAGGTAACTTATAAAAAAAAATGACTTTACAAGGACGACATATTCGACCCTTTATTTTTAAAAACATATCCTTTATACCCTATAGTTGAGTGCCAGTCATGCCTTAGGCCTTCAGTTAGTTGACTGGCAGTTAGATCCTAGACCTAGAAATTATGGGGCTTTAAAGGATTCTGGTTCTTTTTTAAGCCAAGGATATTCTATTGTTTTGAACTTTTGTGCAAGGAATGCAGGTATAGGCATTGCTAACAATTAATCTTTTTAAGGTAAAATAACAATTTTAAGCAGGGCAGTTTTTTTCTACAGCTATCAATCAACAAGGTGCAGAAATTTTTTTTAAAAAATAAAATGTGCAATGTATAACCAGAGCAAAGATTGGGAATTCATAATTTACTTTAATAAATGTCTAGGCAGAATCAACGATTTATCTTATTGCTATTCATTTTTCCATTATCTATTAACCTTGTACTAATAATAAAATATGATATTCTTTTAGGGTTACTTACACAGGTAGAAGATATCTACTAAAAACAGCCCCAATGGGGATTCAGCATTCACAGATAACACAAACTGCATAGTATGTCCATAACAACCAACAAAGTCTGAGTGTCACTTTAGACATCCAAAGGTTTTCACTGTATTCCAGAAGTGTCTTAATCTAATCATCTGATAAATAGGATAACAATGACTAATAGCCCTTGAATCTCTTTTATTGCAATTATTCCAAAGATACTAAACAAATACTAGAGGAATACACTTCTATAGCACCCTATTCATGTGCTAAAATCTCCACATCTCAGCATTGCTTCTCTAGTTTTTGTAGTCTTCTTTGTCTCTGTCCCCATAAATTTACATGTTACAATTCATAAATGCATCTTATTGAAGAACTTTCAGGCTAGCTGGACTTCTAAAGGTTGAGTGTACATGAAAATTCTCCCAAAATATGCATTTTTATTCATCTTGTTCACCATAATCCTATAATGTTTTGGTTCGGGGGTGGGACAGTGGTCCTAGCCCCCTCAAAGTCTTAAAAGTTTCGATCCCCCTAGGTATGAATTTTCAAAAGTGCTATGAAACACACACACACACACAAAAAAAAAAAAGAAGAAGAAGAGATTAGAACTAGTTCTAGTTGTCAATTAATAATAACAAAGAAGTGTGTCCTCACCACAGGGTTGCTAGCTCTTCGATCTTGTAAGATATTTTTATCGTCAAAAATTTCAAAGAAAATATCTGGCCAGAAATTAAAAAAAAAAAATTAGGTCAAATCAACCAAGTTGATGTTTTACATATCATTGAACATTACAGCTAGAATATACCTCCATAGTCATCAATGATGTACTGAAATTCAACCCAGGAAATTTGCTCGTGTGGTTCACGGTGTACGGATCCAGGAAAGATCAGCAAAGCACTGGTATTGGCCTAAGACAGAATGAAAAGCATAACCATGGATTCTTAAATAGAGAAATAATAATGGCATTAGACAGCAAGTAGATCTATATCATTGACATTTTGATTCTATGATTCCATGAAACTATACAAGCACCAACCTCAACAGTTGTCCTTGCTATTTCAGCAGAGGTGAGCTGAGTTTCACGAATCCGTTTGCTGATTTTAACTTCTTCTAGTGGATGATAACCTTGATGACTTGTGTAATTAGATGAATCAGGAACTGAATCAGAGAAATCAGCCGCAACTGAAACTTTCAAAAGGCAAAGATCACGGCCCACAGATGACCATTGGAACTGTGTTGATCCAAAAAATGGATTTCTGCACCTGAAATTTAACATAATAAAATGCTATCAAGGTAAAATATTCCAGTGAAAAACGGCTTATCACAAAAGGCAGGATTGAAAGAATATCAATGCCTTCTTTTTAGATATTTGGAGTAACTATGCCTTTAAAAAAAAAAGGGAAGAGAAACAGATAGTGAAATGCATACATGTAGAAGAAAAAGGATATACCTTATGCTGGAAAGGTGACAAGGTCTGCGACTGTCAATAGGAGATTTGATCCAACTACTTGTGACCCCGTGTGATGTTGAGCAACAAAACCCATCAGCCTGGCATAGTTGACAATGGGAAGGACCTGAAAACAGTATACATTAATGCCATGAAAAACACCTTGAACGAAAAAACGTGAAGAGTTTAAAAGGAGCAGATGAAACAAACATGGATGCCTGAACAGGCATTAAAAAAGAAAACCCAATCAATGGCAAAAATAGATGAATGAAATTTACCATTGTCTGACCTCAACCAGGCCATAAATTGTATTTGTACTGCAATCAAAACTTTAGGGGAAAAAGTACAAAATAAAGACACGAAAGATATGAATTCATTCACATTCATTTCCTGCATTCTCAACAATAAAACAAATTAATAGCAACCTGATACCCTTCAAAGAAAAGTCTTTATGGTAAAAGGTATCGAAAACTGAAGTGCCGATCCTAAGTTTTTCCAACTAATTCATGCATCACACTAAATTACTAATTGGAAGAAAAATGATAATGATAATTGAAATGGCTACTTCAGAAATTCACAGAAGATTCATCATGTTGCTTCATTAATTCCTTCAGTGAGCAACAAATGGAGCCCATTTTGAAACTAATGCTGCTTTATTTACAAATTCTTCCGATTTGCAGTGAAATAAGTCAAAAGCACATCAATACAGAGCTCAAAATAAAGCCTTTCTCAAAAAACACAAAATGGGTCTTCAAGAAGCGAGTCTCTCTCTTTTGGGTCGGCTTCAATTCAATAAATCAATGAAAAAATAAAGAAAAAACATGCATGCAATGCATCCTAACAAACAGAAAAAAGAAACAAAAGCATGAAAAAGGAGGTGATAGCAATTACCGAGGGAGAGGGAAGAAGCAGCAGCTGTAGCTGCTGCTGCAGCGATCACCATGAGGGAGAGAGAGAAGAAGAAGGCGCAGTGGGGCCGGATGAGAGAGGAGGAAAGTGAAAAGGATGGAATTTGTCTGTTGTTTATATTTCAGTGTGAGATCAGTCCATCAAAATCTGTGTCGGACCTGTTCTGTCCAGACGACTGACTGCACTTCTTTCACTTTACTTCCAAGTTCATGCCTTCGAGCAAATTATAAATTAGTTCTTATAATCTTAAAAACAAATTAAATAGTTCCTCTTTTTTAAAAAAAATTAATTAATTAGTCCTCCTCATTCGTTTTATGTTGCTTTTTAATTTTTTTTCTTGGTAAATAGAAAAAAATAAATAAGGACATAATATGGAGAGATTTTTGAGGAAAAAAATGAAATTATTTGAGATATAGCAATATTAAATTAAATATGATTAATAATACTGGTTAAATAATTTTAAAAACTGCATGAACTAATTTATAATTACTTTCATACCTTATATTTTCTCTTTTTCTCTGACCACCAGTTTTTTTTTCTTTTCTTTTCTTTTCTTTTTTTCCTTTTTCCATCAAAATTGGTTAGGTTTTAATAAAATAATTTGAAAAATGCAAAATATGATATCAGATAAGACTTTAACTTTCCGCGCTAATTTATCTTCTAGCGAAAATTTTTGATTACTTTATTAGAAATTTTTTTTTTAATAAAAAAAATTAGGTTCACATGAAAATGAAAATAAAGTCCTCCTTTAGACAAGGGATGGATTGGACAATAGGAAAAGAACAATATCACTCGGATCCTTGGCTTCTCGTCCAAAGCTGTTAACTAGTTTACTATTAATTTTGACTTTATTTCCAAAAGTATTTTCACTTTAAACTACAAAAATAGAAAAATAAATTCTCATATTTTCAAAAGCCAAAACAAACTTTGTGCAATTCTCATGTTTTTGTTTTTATTCGTAATATGGATTCAAATTCGGATTTTAAATTAAGAAAAAATATTTCTTTCAATTTTCAAGAATATTTTTTTATCTCAATTTACCTCTAATCTCACCGTAATTTTAGAGAAATAAATTCTTTTTTATTATAGGAAAACCCCGATGGTATTTTTTTATTTTCTCACAGACGAAATATCTGATTTGGTAAAAATAAAAATAAAAAGACAAATAGTAGGTAAGGGGTGATTGCCAAGATAATTGCCTCAGTAAATAAAATAGAAATTTCATCCTCACTGCCCCCGATTCTTGTGATGCAAGATTAGGAAGATTACAGCAGAATTTTAAAAATTAAAAACTCATTTTTTTTATAACAATATATTTGAATCAATTTATACATTAATCAAAATTAATTTCTTTTCAATTGAAAGTTTAGAAGTCGAAAAAAAGAAATAACACATTATTAGATGGTGCAAGCCATCCCTTTGGACTAACTACTTATTATTATTACTCTTATTATAGTGCATGCCTTCTATTTTCTCCATCCACCATTTTTCTTTTTTAGCAGTCACCAAACTTTGAGAAAAATAATTTTAGAAAAAAATGCAAATGTGGCATCAGTAAGGCCGAACACAAGGCACCATTTGATTTTCTTGCCAAAAAGATAATGTTGTTGACACATTTTGCTTTGATCTTCTCGTAAAAAAATATATATTATTGGCACATTTTATTTTTTAGTTTTTATGTTCAGATTAAAATAAAAATGATGCGTTACTCAATTAATTTTTTTAGAATAAAAACTAAAACAAAAAATCTTTGGATTATAGATAAGAGAGCATCTTACACAATGACAAAGAACAATGTCATTATCCCCGTAGCCTCCCATGGAAGGTTGTTTATTAGTTTATGACAATAAATTCTCGATTTAGATCATATTAAAAAAAATCATTTTAAAATTCTAAAAATATAAAAATAAAAGGAAAATTTTTTTAATTTTTTTTACAATTCTCCTATCTAGCTCAAATTTTCTATTCAACTTTCAATACTTTGAATTTAAAAAACACCTTTATTCTGATTTGGAGTACTATTTTTATTTCAATTTACATTTTATTTCATTTCAATTGTTAAAGAAAAAAATGAGAGAGTGGGGGAAAGAGGCGTGAAAGAGATAGCAAGAAAAGAAAAGAATGTTCAAGAGACATATGCAAAGCCCAAATCATAAGCCCGCTTAGCAATCAGATCCGGCCCAAGACTGCTGATGGGGACTTTCTAAGTTAATCTAGCCCGACTCTCAAAAATCCTTAATTTTCACTACAGTAGATTCTAAACGCAATACAGGAAAACCACTAGAGACCCAGGTAATTCTAATTTATTATTTCGTTGAGAAAATTTTATAATATTTAAAGAGTAATTGTTATAGATTTTTTTAATATAATTTTATATATATTTATTTTTTTCTGAAAAAATAGATTCGTTCAGTACCTATTGATTTTTCTTTTAATATTATAAAATTTCTCTTTTTCATTTTTATGCTGAGTAGAAAAACAATATACCTAAAGTATTTTAGAAGTAAATAAAGGATGTAGATGGTTGCTAATCTAACCGACAAAAAGTATTAATAAGGAGCATCATTAACTTCTTTTAATTCAATGTTGGCACGTAGATTGCAGAATTTTCAGAGAAAGCAATGGTAAATCCTGTTATTTATTTTCAAAAAGCCCCGTGTTTCTTTTAGTTAATAGGAATCATCTTCCATGTAGAAAGCTCTTCAAGTATCGTGCCACATGAGAACTAACGGTTATCATCCAACCATTTTCAATGCATGTGACACCCAATTTTCAATAGAAAACGAGACATTTCAAAAAGCATTAATTAATTATTATTACTATTATTAGGATAAATTTTATAATATTTAATGATTAATAAGTGTAAATTACTTCATAAAAAAACATAAAAAAGAGAGAAAATTAAAAAAAAATTGAGCCAACACATAAATCTTTTTATAATATTTTATAGATCAAAATATGATTTTTTTTATATATCTATCTCTCTTTAAAAATAAATTTATAAAATAATTAGTATATATGTATATTAATTATTTTTTATTATCGTAAAATTGTCCTATTATTAGTACATTTATTTCCCAATAATGACGGAAAGAAGATTGTCAACGCCTTGCGCCTATCTTTCAACTTTAACTGTACAAGTTCCTCTGCCTATAGTGGCATTGTGAAGGTCAATCCAGAATCATGTAGCTTTTCCTTGATTTTATGATCTAAAGCTGCAGCCATCTCTGTTGTAAGATACTTCTTCCAATCACCAGCCTCAGCCTTCCTGAAGAAGTCAGAGTTCTTGAAAACAAATCGGGTAGCACTACTTTTGTCGATCTCCAAATTGCTTAAATTCTCGAAACTGCATAGCTTGATTATTTCTCGCACTATCCTATCATTTTCTTCATCCCGTTTAAAGGGTTGAACCAAAAATTCTGCTAACCTCTTAACGGTAACAAAAGAGTCCCTCTTCCAATCCATTTTAACAATCTTTTTTTTCCGCCTCTCTTCGTACGTGGTTGCCAACTCATCTTCTTCTCTTTCCTCCTCTATCTCTCCGCCGTTGGAAATCACCATAGCTGCCACCTCGTTCTTATTATTCCTTTCTTTACCACAAAAATCGTCATTAATCAATTCCTTCTATTTCTCTCAAAATCCACAAGGAAGCCTGAATTTACTATTTTTTTAAAATATTTTTAAATGAGGCAAAGATTGGGCCTTTAAGACCTAGTTTAGCAACTCATACTACACTAGTGAATGCTCTTTGTATGTTAGGTAGAAAATGGTTTAAACCCAATTTCATTATACTTGAAGGTTGCGTTAAATTGATTTCGCAAAATTCTGGTAAAATTTATTAAAAAAACAATAAACAAGTAAAAAAAAAAAGGAAAATTAATATATAAAAAAAATCAAACACAGTAAAATAAGAAAAAAAATAGTTCAAGTCCTGCGAGTCCCTATAAGTATTGGGCTAGTCCGGGAGACCTAGCTATAAGATAAAAAACACGAAGGAAGGGGGAGGGGCACTTCTCCCGCCGATACCATACCAGATGACATTTTATCTCTTCAAACACCTGTTTTTCACTATTTTTAGCTAAAATATAAAAACCAACAACTCATTTCCAACTCAAAACACATTACACATTCATATAGATCAATTTTTTTTTTCTAAAACGTAGCCAATACAAATTTGATATATATTCTTTTTTTTCTTTTAAACTTAAATTAACAAAAAACACTACTATTTGATTATCGAGAATGAAATAATGAGAATGAGAATGAAAGTTTTATTTATATGTTATAGGTGCTTGATCGAATGAGAATAAGAATAAAAATTACATATAATTTTATTTTTATATATAAGGTGAGAATAAAAATAAAGTATGTGAATGATTTTTTTTCAAAATAATAATATATTATCTTTATTTGTTGTGTATTAGCTATTTCTACCATCATCACTATTATAACCACCATAACTACAATCATCATCACCAAAAGTATTATCGCCGTCCTTACCATCACTTATATTATTTTTATTATTATTATATTTGATTAAATTATTTTTTAATTATTATTCTTATTTGTATTAAAAATAAGTTATTAAAAAATTTAAAATTTATTTTTATTTTTTATTAATATTTTGAATACAATATCATTTTAATATTTTAATATTTATTTCAATTATTGTATTTTTATTTCATTTGTGATGATAAGACACCAATGCTTTTACATTGGAATGCCAATTATTGAATTCTCCAAATTAAAACCCGCAAGTCTTGTCATGTAAAACTTGGCAGCGTAGAAGAGAATATTTGAAAAACGGGGACAACTAACTAGTACTTCTACTTACCATTATGAAAGAGCCTCGATTTAGTGCGCGTGCACGCACGCAAGACGCAACGGGACACAGCTCAAAACACTGAAAAAATCGCAGACGCCATAAAAGTCGGATTCATTTCATTTGGCGGGAGAAATTTTCCATTTCTCTCTGAAAAATAAAAAACTAGGGCAAGCAAAAATCACAAGGCACAGTCCAGTCCCTCTCTTTCTCTCTCTAGAATAAAATTTTCAAAAATTCGTAATCCGTTATCAAACGCAAACCCTAGCTAGGTCATGGACGACCACCCCGAAACTTCCCGAAACCGCTCTGTAAGTTTATATTCTTCCGATGTGCACTTGCATCTGCTAGTTTTAGGTACTAATCTCGATGTAATTTGCTCAAACAGAAGAGGAAGAGGTCTAAGAACGAGACCGAGGAGAGAACGAGCGATGCAAGTGAGGAGGTGGAGGAGCGCGAGGATGATTTCGAAGAGGCGCGCCCTAAATCCAAGCGTAATCGGGCTGCTAAGCATGCCACTTCCGCCGCAGTGCTCAATCCCGATCAAAGCTTGATAGGTAAATCACTCCTAATTTTGTTTGATTGTTGTTTAATTTTGATAATTATGGACTGGGAGTGATTTCGGTTTGCTACAATGCCTTATTCAACAATGTTAGGTGTTTTCTGCTAAGATTTTGGTCGTTTATGGGGATCTGTTTTATAGTATATGTGCATGAATATTATTCTGCCGCAGATGTTATCAAAGGGAATGGGACGCAAATTCCTCAGGTGGTGAAGCTTTGGGTGGAGCGATATGAAAAGGACCCAAAACTTGCAATGGTGGAACTCTTGACCATGCTGTTTGAGGTAATCATGAAAGTTTTTAAAATCTCTTCATTTGTAAAATAAAGAATGAAGGAGTGCAAGGAATACGGATACAAATGTGCAAGTATCTTATCATGAGCATAAGATTGAAACTAGATCCTTTAAGAACCTTAATATTGTCTATGAACTTCAATTTCAGTGCTGCATGTTTCTCCCTAACCTTTTGAATGATAAAATTGTGCAATTGTTCAGGCATGTGGAGCCAAATATCGCATCAAGGAAGAGTTGCTGGATGAGACTGATGTTGACGATGTTGTAGTTGCTCTTGTCAATCTTGCTAGAAGTGTATGCTACACCTTTTCTTTAATATGTTTCTTGTTTCATTATGTCCGTTCTTTTAAAGTTTCCAACCTTTTCCTCCTTTTGTGAAAAAAGCAGTATGGCCTATGGGCCTTTTCTAAGTTCAATAATTGAGATTATGAATTTAGAGTGTTTGCTTAACTTTGGAAACTGTAGGGTGAGGTTGAAGATCATCAGGGTTCAAAGCGGAAGGACTTCAAAAACTTCAAAGATAACATCATCTCGTTCTGGGATAGTTTGGTCACTGAATGCCAAAATGGACCACTTTTTGATAAGACGTTGTTTGACAAATGCATGGACTATATAATAGCACTGTCATGGTTAGTTATGTTTATTTTATGAAGCTCAAAATTGTGGTTTAATTTATGAAGCAACTCCCTTTGGTTACATTTACCTTGTGTTGAAACGAATCAGCACTCCGCCAAGAGTTTACCGTCAAGTTGCATCCTTGACGGGTCTTCAACTTGTCACATCATTCATAACAGTAGCTAAAGCACTTGGCGTACAACGAGAAACTACTCAGAGACAGTTAAATGCTGAAAAGAAGAAACGAACAGAAGGACCTCGTCTGGAGTCCCTAAATAAAAGGTTATCAGCAACTCATGATAAGATACTTGTACTAGAGGACATGATGCGCAAAATATTTACTGGGTATGGTTTACTTTTCGTGAAGGAAAAGCAAATTCTTTTTTCATCAATGATATTGTTGTTTTTATTAGAAAAGCCTTCCGACTTGTCTTATTCCATGCTTTTTGAAGGTTATTTGTGCATCGATACCGGGATATTGATCCTAATATTCGAACATCATGCATTGAGTATCTTGGTGTATGGATTTTGTCATATCCATCACTTTTCTTGCAAGATTTATACTTAAAGTATCTTGGATGGACACTGAATGATAAAGTAAGTGATCTTAACTGACTTGATTTAGTGTGTGTGTGTGTGTTCTCAGGGGCGGAACTATTTGTGCCCCCCTCCATGTTCCAATTAAGTATTTTCTTATCCCCCCCAATCCTAATTTTCGAGTTCTGCCCTTGTGTCTTCTGATAATGTGCTGAACAGATGTAATTTGCTTTTTTTTTTTTTTTATTATGTCACCTAAAGAATGCAGGGGTCAGAAAAGCATCTGTTCTTGCATTGCAAAAACTTTATGATGTGGATGACAATGTGCCGACTCTTGGTTTATTTTCTGAAAGATTTTCCAACCGGATGATCGAGCTTGCTGATGACATTGATGTCTCTGTAGCCGTTTATGCTATAGGACTTGTAAAACAATTACTTAGGTAACTGTGTGTCAATTTTTCCTCTACACACATGCACATGTAGAAATTCATCTTTGATTTGTTTGAATTTCTATGCTAATGGCTCATACACTGGAAATTTGCCTTGTGTGTCTTACAGGCATCAGCTTCTACCTGATGATGATTTGGGTCCGTTATATGATTTACTTATTGATGATCCAGCAGAAGTCAGGCGCGCTATAGGAGAATTGGTGTATGATCACTTAATTGCACAAAAATTTAATAGCTCCCAATCTAGCTCAAGAGGTTTCTCTCTTATTTGAACTCTATGATATGATCGTTGTCAAAATTCCATGAACCAACATTTAAAGTCATAACGATGTTTTTCCAGGCAGTGATGATGGATCTTCTGAGGTTCATCTTAGCAGAATGTTGCAAATTTTAAGGGAGTTTTCAGCAGATCCAATTCTCTGTATGTATGTTATTGATGATGTTTGGGAGTACATGAAAGCCATGAAGGTATGCTGTTACTTTTGAACTATAGAATTCAAGTTGTGTATGAAGAAAGGAGTAGGGTCAGGGTGGGGTGGGGTAGAACTTATCTGAACTAACCTGTGGGAAAGCTTGGGCTTGGGCTCAGGCTCACCTTTTACTGACTTATCCTGCCCAGGATGTATTATTATTCTATTCTGCATTTGATAAGTTTCTGGATAATGAAGCTTTTACTAGAAAATTTTTTTGTAATGCAAAATTTGTTCATTGATAAAGCTCGAGCTCTTTACTGACTATGAGTAAGAAACATTATGCTACTATTTATTTTATGAATTTTCATTTGCTTAATAAGCTGGCGATTCATTTTTTCTTTTTCAGGATTGGAAGTGTATTATTTCCATGCTCCTGGATGAGAATCCATTAGTTGAGCTTACTGATGATGATGCAACAAATTTGGTTAGACTTCTTTCTGCATCTGTCAGAAAGGCTGTAGGAGAGAGGATTGTTCCAGCTTCGGATACTCGAAAGCAATATTACAATAAAGCTCAGAAAGTGTGTGATATTCTGGTTTCATACCTTAGTGTATTCGAAATTTTGTCAATTTTAGTGTATTCTGGTTTCACTTAGATTTTGCTTTAAATGTCAGGAAATATTTGAAAACAATAGGCGGGACATAACAATCGCCATGATGAAGAACTACCCGCTACTTCTCCGCAAATTCATGGCTGACAAAGCAAAAGTTCCATCATTGGTTGAGATCATTTTGCATATGAACCTAGGGCTTTATTCCCTAAAGAGACAGGAGAATGTGAGTGGTAGCATTTCTTTCAAATGCAAGCTCTTTGATACTGTTAGAAAGATAGTTAGAGAGTAAATTCTCATTGTTTTGTGTTTCAGAATTTCAAAAATGTCCTTCAGCTCATGAAACAGGCCTTTTTTAAACATGGTGACAAGGAAGCACTGAGATCTTGTGTGAGGGCTATTAAGTCCTGTTCCACCGAGAGTCAAGGAGAGCTGAAAGATTATGCTCTAAATAAATTGAAGAATCTTGAAGATGAACTTATTGATAAGCTTAAATCTGCAATGAAAGAAGCAGTGGTAAACTTCTAGTTTTGTGTTTCACTTTCTTCATGATGCTAAAATGTATGAGATTTAACATGCTCAAATTTGCAGGATGGTGATGAATATTCTCTGCTTGTGAATTTGAAAAGGTTATATGAGCTTCAGTTGTCATGGTCTGTACCTATTGAGAGCTTATATGAAGATATTGTTAAGGTTCTCCACAGTTTCAGAAATGTGGACGATGAGGTGTGTTAAATTACATATTATATGATTTGCGTCTTTCATATTCTTCTTCCTTGTATTTAATAATTACTCCTGCTCATCCAGGTTGCCAGTTTTCTTCTTCTCAATATGTATTTGCATGTAGCATGGAAACTGCACTCTATTGTAAATAGTGAAACTGTCTCTGAAGCATCGTTAACCTCTCTACTGTCAAAACGCAATGCCTTGTTTGAGGAACTTGAGTACTTTCTTGGAACCCCTTCTGAAGATAAGGAAGGGAGTAAATGTGGAAATCAACTAGCTTGTAGAGTAAGTTAATTAATTTTCTCCAACATACCTGTAACCAAATGCGTTTTTTGACCTGTTGGAAATATATATTGCTTGTTTTTGGGATGCCTTAACTTTCAGTTTGATGAATATTGTTCTATGTCCAGGTTTGTATTATATTTGCAGAAGCATGGTGTTTGTTCAGAAAGACTAATTTTTCTTCAACAAAGCTGGAACATTTAGGATATTGTCCAGATGCATCTGTTCTACAAAGGTTCTGGAAACTTTGTGAACAACAGTTAAATATTTCAGGTGACTCAATTCTTTCATGCCCTTAGCTTTGCTATGTGTTTTTATATGTTAATTGGAATGAGAAGTGATTTGGAGGAAAATTCACTCTAATTTCTTCATAAATCACTGGGATATATATACAAGAATTTTCCTAAATTAAATCCCTGCACATAGCAGTATTCCTTAATTACATCCTACATTACAGCAGATTTATTTTAGGGGATTCCTAAAATAAATCTGATATCACTGATTTTAGGAATGATTTCCTAAGATCAATCTGATATCAATCCCAGTGGTTCATAATCCTGTAGACTGTAGATGGCACCTTTAGGAGGCAATTCTTCTTAATCTAGATTGCTTACCTTAAAATCAACATCGATGCTTAGAAAGCTTGATCCATGAATATTTTCATGTTGGATACACACTTCGTATTTTGTTCTCCCCCTACTATTTATCTCCAATGTTTGTCTCACAGATGAGACAGAAGATGAAGACACAAACAAAGAGTACATTGAGGAGACAAACCGAGATGCAGTTATGATAGCTTCAGCAAAGTTGGTGGTTAGCAATGCAGTTCCCAAGGTCTGCATACTACTAAACTGTAAAGATAATCATTACTCTTATTGTAAAGATAATCATTACTCTTTTATCTTGTGATGAACAGGGTTGTTGTATATATATCATGGGCAATGGGTGTAATTTGTGTGCTGTTTGAGTGATAAAAATATTTGGATAGTGGGTGGGTTGGGTGACATGAATGTGATTTTTTATGATTTGCCATTTTTCACCCTTGTACTAAATTTCATAATCAAGCATTTGAAAAACTTTCAATCTTTAGTTTGTAGTTCGCTAACTGGATCTTGTGTTTCTAATGCAGGAGTATCTTACCCCAGAGATCATTTCTCACTTTGTGATGCATGGAACGAGTGTTGCAGAGATAGTGAAGCATCTAATCACTGTCATAAAGAAGAATGATGATTTTCCACACATTTTCCTAGAAGCACTGAAAAGGGTATGGCTTGTGTTTTAGGGGATGGGGAATCACATTGGGTCTGTGTTGCAGATTTATGAAAAATGATTTCTCTGGTTATTCTCTTGCACCTTCACATAATGCTTTCTCATACAATGTTTGACTTCATTAATTATTCTTTATTTTATGCTTGGTTTCACCTTTTAAGTCTCTCGTTATTTACGCTCTTTCTTGTGTTTTTACATTAACATACTATGATTAGTTCACATAATTCAATTAATTTCATAAATTTCTACCTTGTTGAAGGTGCCTTGTGATATCTTTCTCGAAAGTTTGTGCTCATGCAGGTCATATTTTGAACTTTGATGTTTAACAAGTTAAGGATAATCCATAGACAACTGTGGTCCTCGGATATCTTGCATTAAAAGAAGTCTTGTGTGTGGGTGCACATGCATCCCAAGATGTTGATGTTTATGTTTGCAATTTTTTATTTGACTAGGCTTATGATCGGCATCTAGTGGATCTTTCCAGAAGTGATGACGAATCTGTCACTAGCAAATCTTTTCTAGAGTGCAAGGATCTTGCTGCTCGACTTTCTGGGACATTCGTGGGTGCTGCTCGGAACAAGCATAGATCTGATATTTTAAAAATAGTCAGGGATGGTATTGAATATGCTTTCGTAGAAGCTCCAAAACAGCTTTCTTTTCTGGAAGGTGCTGTGCTTCATTTTGTGTCCAAGCTTCCTGTGGTTGACATCCTGGAAATGTAAGAGATACTGTCTTTGATATTGTCATCTAGCAGCATTTTGCATTAGAATTTAAATAGGTCTCCCCCTCTTCTCCCTTCCAAAAGTAAACTATCTGGTCATAGTTTATGGATAGTGGTTCGGGTTTCTTCTGTCCTACTACTACTCCCTCCTTTACTTCCTTGCTTTTCCCTGAAGCCAGTCCTGCTGTTTTATGGATGGAAACAAACTGGCCCTAACATATTCTTCTTTTACAATTAGTCTAAAGGATGTACAAAGCCGGACAGAGAATGTAAACACTGATGAAGATCCCAGTGGCTGGCGCCCTTACCACACATTTGTTGACAGCTTACGAGAGAAGTATGTGAAGAATGAAGGTTTGCCAGGTAGCACTACTCTTCACTTCTCATAAATGCTCCCTCTAGCAGAAATTAATGTGCATTCGTTTATGTTCACTTTTCATCAAAACTACAGCAATCAAATTGATGCTTCCACCAAAATAGCCATTCTTTATGTGATTTAGATCATTTTCCATCTATGAGACTGTAAATTTGGAGGATCTTAATTTAAACAACTGTTGTATGAATATCTAGATTTCCACCAGTTTTAAGTCTTTTAATTTGGAAATGCGGAGCTATTTGTATGCTGGTGCCATAGTGCATTGATAATGATGATGGAAATGGAAGTGGTACAAATTGACACTTACGTGCCATTGACTCGTTGATTGCCTTGGAGTAATGGAAATCCTTGTGAGGTGCCTGATCATTTTCAAGATCTAGGCTTCACACTTCGTTCAAGATTTGTAAACTATGAATAATTAATTTTTCCTAGCAAGATTGGATGTTATGATGGATTGAGGGGACAGCATCTTGTTTGTAGCTGTAGTTTTCATTTTCTTTAATCTGTTTAATTTTGTACTTTCTGCTCGGTAAACCTTACTATGTTCTTGCAGTTTTTTTTTTTGGGTATCTCTGTGTTCTTACCATAACAGCTTAATATCCATAGTACTTTCATTACCTCTCATTGAAATCAAATTTGTTTAGCGTGGAAGTCACCAACATTAATTAAATGCATCCTGCTTCATTGAATTGCATGTTCTAAGAGTGGAAACTCTACATGATGGTGGTTTATTGAGCGGTTGGTAGTTTTTAGGCACCTTGGTTCTGAATTTAGATTAATCAAATCATTGACTTTTTTTTTCCCTTCATTTCAATTGATGCTGCAATGGTACTATGGTACTAATAACAAAAGAACATTGCAGATGCAAAAGAGAGGAGACGCGGTGGTCGTCCAAGGAAGCGGCGTAATATAGAGGGAAAGAGATTGTTTGATGAGGACAGTTCAAGTGAGGAACAGGATTCAATTAGTGGATCAGATCAAGAAGATGAAGAAGAGAAGCAGGATGAGGAGGAAGAGGAAGAGCCTCTGATACATTCCCTTAAGTCATCATCCAAGTTGAGGTCATTGAAACTTTCAAGAGAAAACAAAGGCCAGAGGACAGGAGTTTCTGCTTCTAGAACATCAGGTTGAAATGCATTTATGCTCTGCTTGATGCAGCTTGATTCTCCAGGTCCCTGCAGAATAGTACAGTAGCATTTTGGCAATCATGATAATAAATTTAGGCAGATTAAAATATTGTATCATGCGATGGAGCTAATTATTTTGTTCTCTTGTGCAGGGCCATCAAACTAGTAACTTTCCCCATTACGTTTTTTACATACATTCAAGACGCAGCTGACCAGTTGTAGTTAAGATCTTAGGCCGGGTCTGTAATCTTTTTCCCCCCATCTGAACAAGGTTGCTAGGTGTATATTTCTTGAATTCAACAAAATGTTCATAAAAAAATGTGTTGTTTTCCTTAATGCTTCCACAATTTCTGTACGTTGGCCTCGTCTTTAGCTCACCAACTAAACACATCCTTTTCAAAGGAGGGCCTGTTTGGTTAGGATTTGAATAGGAAAATGGAATTGATAGACGAATAAAATGCGTGTTGCTTTCTTATAAATAACTAGCAACGGTAGTGAAAATATACACAGTGGTGGCTTGAGATGGTGGTGAGCCAAGGCTCTGCTGATGCTGGAGGAATAGCAGCATCACAGCAACAGCAAAACAGCCGGTAAAATTAGGTTGTGCTTTTCTGATTAAAAGCTGAGCCGTAGGCTGTAGCGATGCAAAGAAGTCCAGCAGCATGCCATCAACGATTTGTCGGATTAATGACATTTTTCGACCCTGATTCTGTTGATTTTGACTTAGTGGTTCCAAAAAATGCAATTTGATAGCCGCAGAAATTGTTCTTCCGTCCAATTTGATATTTCTGTTAAATTTTGAATTGAAGATATCTTTACATAGAGATTCATCCAAAACATTTAGATTCTAGGCGTATAATTAATTTACGTTCAAGAAAAACAAATCTGATTAAAAGTTTGCGAATATCTATCATGTCATTAGATGTTTATTTTGATAAATGTGATCCTGTTATTGAAAAAGGTTCACGAAACATACCTGTTCTCTATGATTACAGATGGCTTAAATGGGTTTGTTCTTTTGGCCATTTTGTTCATTTTAGCCATTTATTTGCAAGAACAAGTGAGGATTTACATAGATGCCTGGAATGGACTATAACTAAATTCGTAGCTGATGAACGATTTTGAAGGCTTTGTTGTTGCATACCTCCCCAACTGCAGCCAAAGTCTGCTGCTGATTCGGTGTCTGGCTCATTAAATGTACAGATCTCCTCACCCTAGGAAAATAGCATAATAAAAGTGCTTGCAAGACCATGTGTTTACAGAAGCTGTTTACATATTACTGATCCCAAAATATTGATCCAACAGTGTAAAATATGACACCTACAGACGATAAATATCCAGTGGGATAAATTATTGCTTCAAGATCTTTGAGGCTTTGACGCTTTGTACAATCTTTGTAGCTGCTTATCAGTTGACACCAGTGAAAAAAGGACAATGAAGTTCATGTATTTGAGTTTTTTGAATGACTTTGATTGCATGTTTTTGGAATACATCGTCTTTCAAATGACAAGTAAGAAAGAGACGAGTTCTGCATTTGCAATTTGATATCAATCTCACATGCATGATCGACAAGATTCAATAGCATGCTAAGGAGAATTCAAGGTGAAAATAATGATTCGTAGCATCTACGTGCTAGGAGAGAGGAAGCATCATCTGATTGTCTCCATCAATTTAATAAGACTAGATTTATAGATGGGTTCCAACTGTTCCAAGTTCCAACATCTGCTGTAAGTGCAGCTGAAAAGTTATATAGTAGGACTTTTCACTCTAGCATTTTAAAGTGTCAACTGAAAAGGACTGAAACAAATTTCTTCTCGCACGTCCAATTCCAAAATTGACGCTGATTTCATGAGTTTTAGTGAAAGGGAGAAGATGAGTTTTGGGGTTTGCGGATTGGAACTTGAGGATAACTATGAGGAGAAAGAATCAGCCACTGTCTATTTCATATGTTAGTTCCAGGATTCTGCTAGTAGTCCAAGAACTATGCCCTACATAGGTTGAGAAACAAAACGGTCATAGCAGGTTAATAACATAAAGACACACAGACATCCAATGATACTTCAAATACTAATTTGAGGCATTGAAAATAAATATGGCAACTAGTTTGCATTAAAATTGGAGTTTTCATCCTATGGATCAACCGAGGGCTTGAAAAAGGTCCTTCAAGGAAACAGTTTCAAAAAATAGAAAGCGTACCTCTTTTGCAATTTTTCGTAAAACTCATAGAAAAGTTCAAGCAGCCTCTTGCGTGTATAAGTTGATCTATCCCACCATGCCAGTCATAATAGATAAGTGATTCACCCACATCAAAAGCGAGGTTTCCATGAGAATCAGCATGAAAGAAATCAATTTTCGCCTTCTCTGGATGAAAATGCTAAACCTGTTTTTGCTTCTCCTGAATCCTTCTTTTTCTAAAATCGTCCTACCATCTACTTCATACTATGCCATATGATAAAGATGAAGTACGCTGAGGAGCATGCATAGACCAACCAGATGCTACTGAATATGACCTTTGAATGTCAACTATTGGAAGAAAAAGCTTACATATCTCTGGACAATGAAAATTAAGATTTGCAAATGTCATGTATTATTAGATATCAGTATTATCCTAATCATTTTCATTTTTCTCTCTTCTTTGTAATGGATAGCTGCTAAAAGAAAAGCATTCCACCATGACCGGTCAACAATCCTCACAACATCCCAAGCCACATTATGACCTGTTCTCATGCATGGCACTGAGTTCGGAGACTATGTTGGTAGTGTGGTCAATATGAGAAGAAAATCCCCTGATTCATTTACCTATCCGTTCCATGCAAAATGCCCCTTGAAGCAGCCTTTCTCGGGTTGCCAAAAGAGCTACCAAGAATTTAAACAACAATCACCCTCAAAGTAGAAATCAAAATAAAACATATGCAGAATTCATAAAGGATCATGCATTGGGTCATTAGCTTTAAATTCAGAAAGCAAATCAGAGTCTGAAACTTCTTCACAACTAGAACTACCGTCGGTGGGTTCATCACCACGAACAATCTTTGATGACTCCTCTGGACCAGAACATGCTGCTCTCTTGTATAAGCCCCTACTTCTATCCAAAAATCCTTTTCTCATCATACTTGCATATTTTTCCCTGATATCAACAAGAGGATGTTTATGCAAAAGTAGTTGGCGGTCATATGCTTCTCTAAGAACAACAGTCTGGGTGTCACTCTTCTTTGAGATGTAAAAAATGCCAGGATGTCGCTCAAAAACCTTAGTGAACTTCTGGGGCAGTGACAATGGTTTGCGAAGATTGCTTACATTCTTGCGCTCAGTTCTCTTATGTACAGTAAGGTGTAGAAGCTCATGAAAAACTCCTACAATTCTCTTCTCCGATACATCTGTACGTGGATCCAAATTTGAGGCATCAGAGTAAGGTGAAGTATAAGGAAGTCTCTGCCACTCTTCCAACCATTCCATGCATTTCCTCTTCAACCCAAAACCCCTCGTAAAGCCAACTGGAAAGGCTAAGCAGCCATTTTTCATGTCTTCTTCCTTTTGTTGAAAAGCAGCATTCTTCTGCAACTGGGACACAGCAAGGCGATCATCCCAAAATTGGAGTTTTACACCAACACGATCATCAGGGAGGCTAACTGAAGAAAACAAATCAGGGTGAAGCGGAATCAAACAATCAAAATATTCATAAGGCAATCCCATGTCCCATCTCAGCTGGTCTAAGGTTTGTAATGGCAGTGTCCTATCTCTTGTAAGCATAAGCAGTTTGCATAGCCTTTCAACCAAATCAATTCGATTCTGCTCAAGAACATCGAGTTCTTCATGGCGAAGATCTAGGGCTCCAGAAGTCAACTGGAAGCAGGGAACACGAGTGCCTCCACTATCAAGAATGTGAGATTCACAGAAAATATTAGGATATCTCCTGATAAATGTGGAGAGCTTAAGATCATGGGGCAGACCAAGTTGTCCACGATGCTGTCTAAGATGGTATATAGGAAGGCAACATCCAGGAGCGGAAGAGATGATCGAAACAAGTAGGCAAACTGCTTTAAGATGTTCTTGATCTGCCACAACAGCATCCAATACTCTATCTTTCACCCATTTTAACTTGACATTCACCAAACCAAATTTTTGCTGGTAATTGTATCCTGTCCGAAACCCACCGAGAAAATTAAAGCATCCAGTTCCCTTTTTCAACAACAGCAGCAAAACCATCTCCCCCTTACGATGACAACGAATGATTTTAACTAGCAAACAGTCTCTAGTTTCATCATTTTCCACTTTTCCAAATCCACCATAAAACAGCCAAACAAAATCAGCATAGCAGAAGTTCCTATCAATCAGCAACATGAAGGACAGTAAAACATAAATTGAAAAGTTATTAATTCACCCACGAAGAATCTGCCATCACATATAAATTAAACTTCTTTTCCTATCAGTAAATAAAGAACTGGTAGTTCTGACATTTGGCAGTAAGAAACAAAAATTAATGAACAAGCAGTAAAACATAATTACTTGCTCTTAATGACTTCTTTCAAAGAACTTTAGAGAAAACAAAATAGCTGCAGCCAAAGCCTAAAATAAGATGATAAGGATTGCAGGTTTCTATTTTTTACCTGCTGTTTTTATGTCGTCTTCGTCTTCCTGGGGTTGGGAGAAGATGGGTTCGGGAGGATAATCATCAACTGCAGCAGCAAAGGCAGTGGGAAATTCGCGTTAAAAATGGCAGCTCCATGCGCAGACTGGCTAAAACATTGCTTAGTAGCAGCAGTAGATAGACTGAGCTTAGGCTCTTTATAGTTCCGTTTCTCTAAATGTTTTTTTTTTTTTCCTTTTAATAACAGCGAAGGTAAACGTTGAAAATAGGCTAACTTGAACGTAAAACCCTCAATTATTAGTAAAAGTGTTATTAACCCCTAAAATAAAATTATATTCCATTAGCCCCTAAATTAATTGTTTGATTTTTTCGTCCACTGGTAAATCAAAGTAAAGTTTCATCCAAATGTTAATGGAATTTAAGGATGGATTCAATAAAGAAAAAATAACTGGATTTTCTTAAGATAAATTACGAAATATAAAGTATTCAACATTTAAGGAATAAAATGAAACACTTGTTAAACTTTGGGGGCTCCATGGCCCCTCAAGGCTCAACCCAGTTTTCCAAGAAAAGGAAATTTGGAATTTTGTTTTGGGTCAAATATTAAAATGAGTGAAGTTAGTAGGACTGTAATTGAAATAGTAGATTCCTTTTTCTCTTTGATCCGTTGATTTTATTTATTTATAGAAGTAGGAGAAGAAGCGCCAACAAGGCAAGCAAGAAGAAGTAGCCCAATGATGGCTCCAGCGGTCAGCTGTAGAGACAGTAGCAGAGCTACAGTCTCTGTTGTTGTTTCCTCCAACCCAAAGACCAAAACTCACCCACCAACCTCACTTGTTCTTCCCTTTTCAAATTCCAAATCCCAACTCTCTCTTTTCAGTAGTCACCACGAATTCAACAATAATAATAGAAATCGGGTGGCACAAACCAGCCGCAAAATCGTGACTTGCTCCGTCTCCGGACAGGGAAATCCTGCGGCAAAGAAGTTGCGTCTCATCCTTGACTCTCCTGGGGTTCACCAGGGCCCTGCTTGTTTTGATGCTTTAAGTGCTCTGCTTGTCCAGCGAGCTGGTTTTGATTATTGTTTCACTAGTGGTATGTGGTGTGTTTTTTCTTTCCTGAGAGGAAAAATGTTATGGGTTTTCTTTGATTGTTTGTTTCTGTAGGGTTTTCGATATCGGCGGCTAGATTGGGGTTGCCGGATACTGGTTTTATTTCCTATGGAGAAATGGTTGACCAAGGACAACAAATTACCCAAGCTGTATCCATTCCTGTCATTGGGGATGCCGATAATGGATATGGGAATCCCATGAATGTTAAAAGAACTGTCAAGGGTTATATTGCAGCTGGCTTTGCTGGGATCATTCTTGAAGATCAGGTTTGCATTATTTTCAACGAAACAAGACTTCATTTTGCTTTCTCAACTCTGAACTGTACTGTACCGGATTGGCTGCTTAGCAGTTCAACCACTTGGCTGACCACAAGTATCCGTGCTCCAGCTGGTTTGTCTAGAAATTATTAGGCGAGCTTATCTCACCATTTGCCCACTTGCATGATTCTTGTGTGTCAGTTTATCAGGCGAACACTGTATGAGAGCGGTCCTAGTGGTGAACCTTGATCATGCAATAGTTTCTGCAGTTCATGTACCCTGGTCCAACTTGCCGGTTTAGTCCAGTTTTTAAATAAAATGGATGTGGAGTGGTTTTTCTTATTGATAAGATAGACTCTTGTCTTGATTCCTGTCACGCGGAGAGTAACCAGCACTCCTTGTTGCTTAGCATGACTCGCATGGTCAAGGATTCCAGATTGGTCCGGGGAAGAGATAAAGTATTTGGGAGAATAATGTAGCTCTATTTAAAGAGTTTCTAAAACTTTTCTGGTAGTTATGGTTCATGTGATTTGGGTTCAAGTAAGGGCGGGCAGCCCAGGTAATGGTTTGGAATCCAAAACCATCTAAACTTCATGACTCAGATCTGCAATTTTCACTTTAGGTTGCCATGGCCAAATTGGGGCATTTGAATGACCATAACTATTTTCGTAAAGAAGAAACTAGGATGTGTTACCACCCAACTAGTTGAGGATTGAAGTTTAGTTGTTGTTATTGTAAAGTAGGATAAGCTCTAACTCTGGCTTCTGAGAGTTCTATCGTCTTTTTTAATCTAGTGATAATTTAATCATGGATTATTAATGTAATGAAGATAATATTTCTGTTAAAAAAAAAAAGAAGAGGAAACCGACAATAGAACCATATCATACAAGATGATGAGGTAACAGTGATCACTTTTAGCGTAAACTCTGCATCTTGTGAGTCACAAAAATTTGAGACGTCCAGTTTGGACTAAGTATTACTTTATTGTTGTTTTATGACGCAGGGTATTGCTAGGAATTTGAAAATCTGAGTGATGCCTTTCCATATCTTGTGACTCTTGTTTCCTTTCTGTTAAATTTGTGGCTGTAATCTTAACCCCAACTTTCTTAACTGTGATTTGTCATATTATTGTTCGAGCTGCAAATTGGTGCAGTTTTGATTTTCTGTTGCTTATACATCTGATAATGCAAGGTGTCTCCAAAAGCTTGTGGCCATACACGTGGCAGGAAAGTGGTGTCTAGGGAGGAAGCTGTGGTGCGAATAAAAGCAGCTGTTGATGCTCGGGAAGAGACTGGCTCTGACATTGTTATTGTGGCACGAACTGATTCTCGTCAAGCAGTGTCTTTGGAAGAATCACTCTGGAGGTCAAGGGCTTTTGCTGATGCTGGAGCAGATATTCTTTTCATTGATGCACTAGCTTCAAGAGAAGAGATGAAGTCTTTCTGTGAAATCTCTCCCTTAGTTCCAAAAATGGTAAAGTTTGATTTCCCCGATATGAGACAAATATGACATGCATTTAATGTCTAATGAAGCGTGTCTGTTGATCTATTACTAAATTCTTATGAAGTTATTTACCCAAAGAAAAATCCACAGTTTTAGATGGAATTAGTATACGTATATACAATACAGATGGAGTGGTGTATATCAAAATGCTGATGCAAAAGCTTTCTTTGTTTCTTTGTTTCTTTCTTTTTTTTTTTCTGTAGTGGCGTCGGCACAGGTTGCTTTGTAGGAATTTAAAGTGCAATCTCTATTTCTCTACAATGCCTTAAATCACCATCCACCTGTACACACCTACTTATGAGTGAAATGAAGATTTCCCAGTTTCAAATGGGAGTAAACAAAACAAATAATCCCAGTTCTTAGTGGTCCAAACCCTCTGAACCCTCACAGATGCCACACAATATTCCGTTCAGATTTTTCTCAATGTTTTAGTTGGATCATGGAGTATGCTGGGTCAAAGATCTTACGACACCTCTATGAAATTGATTCTAATCTGTAGTGTGAAGCCGAGAAAATGTTACAGAATTCCATTCCTTTGAAAATTTAGATGTAAGTTGCTTGCTATAGAATTCAACAGTATGCTTTTTTCTTCAGTTGATTGTAGAACTGCACTGGGTCCATAGACAACTGTTTAAAAAGAAAAAGTTATTTAGCAGTGAAACAAATTAGGCTCTCTGAACAAAATGTTGGGTGCCTTAATTGAATGGAAGTATGAGGAATTTGCTGGAAATTCTAAGAAATTTAACATAGACATGCTTCTGTGTTTATGGCTAACAGTGGTTAGTTATATCAATGTAATTGCATTGCTCTATTAAAAAACACTAAATTCAAGCTGGGATAGCTAAGTGCTGATTTAACATGTTCATTTTGTTATATCTCATGATTTGATGAAGCTCTAGCTAAAGAATTGTTTGAAAAACGTTTCTCTCTCTCTCTCCACCAACTTCTTTCCCATTAGATTATGCCAAGATTATGGACACATATATCTTCGATGAGGAATTTTTACTCACAGTAATGTTTCTAACAGGCTTTTCAATCTCTAAAGGGGCCTTGTGCATGAATTCTTAACTAATAGTTCGTTTCTTTCCTTCCTTCCTTCCTTAGTTTGTTTCTTCTTCTTTTTTGGATTTCTTGTAGTTGCTATGGTATTTGTGATTCTAAAGTTCACTGGCATAATGAGTATATTGTCTAATGCATTTGAAAAAGAGTTTTGCCTAAGAAATTACTTTATAACCAAAATGTTATACTGATTAAGGTTTTCCGTTTCTGTGTAGGCCAACATGCTTGAAGGAGGAGGAAAAACACCAATGCTCACTCCTTTTGAACTTGAGGAAGTTGGATATAAACTTGCAGCTTACCCCCTTTCCTTGATTGGGGTATCTATAAGAGCTATGCAGGTCAGATGTCTTCACCTTTTAAAGAAATTGATGTACATATGGTGCTTGAAAACTTGCTTAACATTCTTACTCAATTAACTTTGCCAAACAGTATGGCTTGGCTTAAATACATGAAATTCAGTGGTTTCCCACCCATTAACATATTTCTTTTCATGTTTCTGACCTTCTCTGAACATAATGCATTAGTTCAATACACCTTCAAATACTTTTTGATCAGAAAACCCACTAGCAGTGTGCTTTTGGCAAATTGTGGATCAAAATCCTCTTCAGAAAATAGACCCTACTAATTTTGGCAGTGTGTTTTTTTTGGAGCTTTCCTTGATGAGAGGGTTGTTAAAGTAACTCCTATCACTCATTGCAGGATTCACTAGCTGCCATTAAAGGAGGTCGTATTCCTCCTCCTGGAAGCATGCCATCGTTTGAAGAAATAAAGGAAATCTTAGGTTTCAACACTTACTATGAAGAAGAGAAGCGGTACGCAACTAGCAGCAGTCAAATGTCTAGGCAAAGAGGTGGGTGAGAGTCGAACGTAATACAGCTAGAGATTCCCATTTGTATATCCACTGTTTAGAATTTTAGTGATTCCCGAGATTTGGTAACTTTGGTTCTAACCTTGAAACCTTGTTACCTACACCTTCGCTTTTTCTTGAAGAAAATGCAAAAGTGGACCATGTTATTTTGGCGATTTGCATTTCAGTTACATTTTTTTTTAAGCATCCTGTGGTTTGCTCCATTAGCAAGGGCCTTGATAACATTGGTCGTATGGTGAGGAGGCATGAAAGATTTGGAATGCTCTTAGGGCTATTCATATTTTTGTCACATCACCCACATAAAAAAGGCTTCTGCTGACTGAGCAATTCACTTGGATGCTGAAAAATAAACCCGTCATTGAAATGCAAATTTCCAAAATCACATGGTACTTTTTTGCACTTTGGCCTTTCCTGTCTTTTAATATCTTATAACTAGGTTTTGTTAAATTATATTAGTTATTTGTGAACATGATTGCATGTCAATTTTGTTGGAAAAGTTCTTTGTGAACACAATTAAGTGTCAGTTTGATAGAGTTTTCAACCACCCAAATGCTTAATCTGCTAGGGGGAGAGGCCTATATGCTAACTTACCTGTCCTAGGAACCCATTTCATACCTCTGTGTGACTGTGCACTCCGGTGTAATTTCAGAAGAAGCAAATGGAAATGGGACCATTTGTAACCACAAAAAATAATCTAACAGGCCTATGTGAAGATAGTTTGTGTTAAACTAAAACCGAACTATATTGGTATTTCTATTTTAAGGAGACCAACTGCAGCTAGTTGTTCAACCGAGCTCCTGAGCTAGTTTTGCTTTTATTACAACTTGTTGGTTTTCAGTTGCTGGGATGGTTCCTAAAAACTTTGCTTTGAAACTTTTGAATTTATGCTGCTGTATTGGTTGTTTTTAAATCGACCCTTAATGCATGCTTGTTAATTTTTCTTGTTCACCAATTTTCCTGCAAGAATCTAAGTTACACAATTGCTACTTCTCTGTTTCTAATTCTTAAAAAAATATGTTATTCATCAGCAAGCAGTAATGTATATGGAATACAACGGAGGACTTCAGATGATACAGAGCAAAGAAGTCAGAGGCTTCAAGATCCTGTTGTTGAAGTGATCACTCCTGAAGTATACAGTAGCAATGGCACAGACAATTCAAGAGGTCCCTTTTCTGGGATCTGGTCTCGAACATTGAGAGTCAAAATAACTGGAAGAGATGGATTTGAAAAACTTGATGTGAGGATTCCTGTAAGTCATCTTCCTCTTCTAATGCAGCTAACATCAAACCATGCTCCATGCCTCCATCCAACTTAATCACACCACTAAGTTCATACCCAGTGCAAAGAAAACCTGACCATAAAGCATTGCCATCCTATATTTTTCAAATTATGTAAAGTTTTATGGTTTAAATATCAACTGTGTCGTTATGTATGGAATCACATAATGGATTTTTAAATTACCACCACACTTCATGATGGGTTATATTGGTCACTACCTTATGGATTCCCAATGCTTGAAACTCTGTGAACTAAAATGCACTGCGCTTTCAGTAAATGAACCTATTTGTTGAGATTGTTTTCCATGTTAAAGATAGCATTGCTAGTGTTTTACTGAAATGATCTATGTTGCCAACCCAGCTAGTTTGCACTGGAGGCTTAGTTAAGTGCTATGTCCAACTACCTACAGATATGCATGCAGAAGTCTCCATTCATTTGTTTTTGCCTAAGGAATTTGTAGTATTGTGTATAAAAATAAGTGAAGCATTGTATTTATGCCCAGAATAATGCCCCTTTAATCAATTTCTCCATTTCTTGTGGTGCCTCTTATTGAATGATCCCTGTCGCATAAGTCAATCTTCCTGTATAAATTCATGACCAACTGTCTACAGATAGGCTTGGGACAAGTTCACTTCATTTTTTGGAAATGTATTTTATCCTTGTTGTTTGTTTTTCAAAGTAGTATTTCCATTATCTGCTATCATGATTATGATTTGTAAATACTACGATCTTTCACATCACCAGCAAGGCATGCAAGACTTTGTTTATGAAACAAGAGAGTATTGGTCTTTTGTTTTTGTTTCGGCAAAACAAGAGTGTATTTATTTATTTATTTTTGTTTTTCTTTGTATTTTTTGCAGGCTGGGTTCTTGGATGGGATCACAAATATAGTTCCAGGTACTTTATACATTCAATAAACTTAACAAAAATTGCTATATGAATTTATCCTTCGAAGGTTGTGAAAAGATTAAATTTGTGATTGTATTTGGTACACAGCTTTGGGGGGTGTGAACATCAAAGAACTCTTGGATAATGCAGCTGAGGAACCAGGAGGCAAGCTCCTGTTAGATTTTAATGATACCATAGGTGACATGATACAAGTATTTCTAGAATAATATTTCAAACGTTGAATAGATACGGAATCTTTAGCTGCACAAAAACATACTCTTGCAGTTCTTTGAGACAGATTCAATATTGCTTCTTCGTTTTGTTGTCTTGAACCCAGTTCTCCATTATGCAGTTCGCTTATTCTATTTAGAAGCATTATGTTCCTCAAGACAGCTACCAAGAAACAGAAAGCAGGTTTGTTAAAGATGATTATATATAGGGTTCAAAAATAAATTGTAAAGACTTGAGGTTCTGAAAAAAGATCCCAGGGAGGTGGTTGTGATGCCTCTATAATTTTTCAGAAAAGGGACAAAGTGAAACAAGTGTTCAATCATTTGTGAAGCATGCTGAAACCGGTAATTAAAGCGAAGTGACTAGCACTTTGAGACTTGCGAACCTAAGATTTAAGAAAAGGTCAAGGGCGTTTTAAGGTGTTTTGGCTCCAAATTTTTGTTCTTCATTTTGCTTAGTTTTCTTTTTCTTTTTTTTTTTTTTCGAAACTTTTCTCATGCAGCTGTCATTCGTAATAGGTATGCCTACTTTTGAGATGCAACTCAGAGAATTATTTCGTTAGCATTTGATAATCTTACCAATAATCGTATTTGCAAAAGCTGGGGAATTTCCTTTTGATCAGACTGAGTTAATCACAGCAATACTCATATTCTTGCTCGCATCTACTCATAATTTGTTACGTTGCTTGCATTTAACCTTTATCAACGAAGCGAACGAGCTGATCGGGTAATACCTGAGATTTTATCCTTGACAATTGACTCGCAGTCGTCAATATTTTAATACGTCAGATAATTACAATGTTATTAAACCAAAATAAGTAAAATCGTACCATCTAGCATAAGGGGCCACTCTGCCTAAATGAAAATTGTCTTGTTCATGAGCTTTTCTTCTTTTATTTTTACTTTCAACACAACTTTCAATCAATATGTAAATATTAATTAACTAATTCAAAAGGCAAAGTATAGATCATGGCATCGAAGATTTGAAACGTAAACAAAAGTTTGAATTTTGTTCATAGCATAATAAAATTGTAGTGCACATTCAGAGAGTAAAAAAGTACGGATAAGACCAAAGATCAAACCATTTGATCTTTTCAACCTAATTTTCATCAATAACAGTTTGCTTCATTGAAAAAAAGAAAATATTTATAAATATGATTAATCTACCTACCATAATCCAAAGAAATGTAAAGTTTAATTATAACCGACTCCCTCCTCTTAACCAAAAAAAATCTTCATACAAGTCAAAAATTACAAGAACTAAGATTGGAAATTCTCGCGGTGATTCCATAAAATTAGGTATTGAATTCGCAAGACAGATAAATGAATTCTCGGATTTATTGATCATTCAGTATCCAAACATAGTATAAATCTCTGATGAGTTACAAAAAAATATATACTCCATAAGGGGAGAAAGGGGAGAAGACAACCTGAGAAAGGTTATCTTCACCGTATTACGAATTCACAACAGCTGAAATCAGCAATGCATCTAATCAATATATTCTCGCCCAAAATGAATGATAATGCAACCAATAGTGAGATATAAGGATGATGAATACACATAAATCACATCAAGATTCGTATCGGAAAATTACAACTATCGATCAAAACTACATCTTCTGACCCCATGGGACAAGGAAGAGCATGGCAATGGTAACACTGGGTTTGAAATGCCATCCCTTTTACCTCGTAAAATCAATAGGTATACTTACACTTCAACATGGTAGCTCAATCTCATCGATATCTGCCACCATAAGGTTGTTGGGGAGTGTAACCACCAGAGCCCATCATGGGGTTATAGCCACCAGGTATGGCTGATCCAGGAGGCATCTGGCCACCCTGCATCATTCCCATATTCATGCCCACATTCATCACTGGTCCCATACCCACACCAATGGGTTGATGCACTCCCCCATAACCTCCCACGCCTGAACCAGAACCGACAATGGGGTTTGGAGGCGGCCTGAGAGCACCTGCAGCAGCTCGGCCCATCCCAGTACCAGATCCCATAGCTTTGCCCATGTTGATTGTAGATATAACTGGAGTCATGGGCTGTTTTTCCATTCTCTTTTCCTTGCGATTAAGGGCATCAAAATCGACTCCAATGTCAGCCAATGGATTGGTTTTAGCTGCATATGAAAATAAATAAATAAAACCAAGTAAACTCCCATACAAAATAAATTAGGACTTGACCACCAAAAGACTATTTAACATATTTTGTTAGCCTTTAAATACTGAATATACTCACGTCCTGAAATATTCAAATTGACCAGCCCTCTGCTCAGAGTATCTGCCCACACTGTTGACTTGGTCTCAAATTTGTCCTTGGATGGTTGAGGAACTATAGCAAGCGACCCTGTTGAAGATGGAAGAGTTGTCTGAGAAGCCATGAAATTGTTTGGCCCTTGAGAAAACATATTACCCGGGACATCATTCTGTTGAGGAGATGAAGCAGTTGGAGTTTGGTAGGTAAATTGTGAAGCAACCGGGACTGTAGAGGCATGTTGTGGGAGAAAGTTTCCACTGTTATATTGTTGTGCTGATCCAGTTGCTGTATGGTGAGAAAATTGTGAGACAGCTGGAGTTGTAGAACCTTGTTGTGGAAGTAAGTTTCCATTATTAAACTGTGCCATTGGTCCAGCAGCCATGTTGGAATTGATAGGAGCTGGGGATCCTCCCTGTGGAAGGAAGTTTGCACTGCTTAATTGCTGGGCCTGAGGAGCCATGTGTGGAGCTGCCGGCAGTACCATATTCCCTGCTGGTGAATTGAAGTTCCCATACACAGAAGCGCCTGGCTGTGGAGGTTGGCCAGTTGGAAGTGAAAAACCTGCCTGTGAAGCTACAGCAGACGGAGCAGACAGTGGGAGGATGTCTGCCAGAATATCAGTTTCAGGATAAGAACTTGACATTTCTTGAGGCAAAAAGTGTGGGTTTGTTGAAGGAGGTTGAACATTGGATGATGAATAAGTCATGCCAGAGAATGTGTCAACATTTGGTGGTGCAACTGCATTGGGCATTTCAGCACTCTGATTCACGGTAGGCTGGAAAGGGGCAGCAGAAGAAGTTGGCTGTTGAGCTGAAAAATTCTCTGTAGGTGTAGCTTTGAAAGGAGAGTCACCAAATGGATCTTCAAAAGCCTGTATCAACGGCATGTGCTTTTATATCAGAACTGCTATGCCACCACAGCTGAATCTTAATATTGCTAATTAGAATTAAAAGATGAAAGCCAAATTTTAGGTGAGAGGGGAGGGCGGTGGTTTGGTCATTCATTCTTTTAAATAAGAAAATATAATCTACATGTACATTTAACACCACCCTTGATGCTATGAGCCAGCCAAAAAGCTAAAGGTTTGTAGCTGAAGACAATATTCAAGCATTCACAACTAGTTTCCACATTCCTAAGAAATATATTCCAAATTTCGATGAATGTTGTTTTTGGGCCATGATAACTATGGCATGCTCCACAACCACTTTGATTTTTTTTTTTTTTTTTGGCAAAGTAATTTGTTACCTGAACCCTTCAACTTGAATCACCAGTGCCCAAAAATTTAATAAAGACAAGGGAATTGGGTGACATTCCAAAAAAAGAAAAACAAAGGTGCAATTGGGCATCATGGTGTTTCACCGAAGAAATCCCAATCCCATTCTGTTTTGTGTATGAATGTGCATCTGCAAGTGTTTCGGAGTTGCAACAAGGGTTTCAGGGAAGAAATCCAAATCCTTGAGACTCTGTTTTGTGTATGAATGTGCATCTGCAAGTGCTTCAGAGTTGCAACAAGGGTGGTGAGTGCATGCAAGTGTTTGGGGATTTGGGGGGCAGGGGTGGGGTTGGTTTGAAACTTATCTAATAGATCAACTATGGAAATATGCAATAATTTAAGGGACTTCTAACTTCAACACATTATGCTCACCTGATTCATAACAGATGCTGATTGGGTTGCAGCAAACACAGGTCCTGGAAAGTTTGCCTGGGCATCAGCTTCAGAGGTAGTTGCAGAAGTAACTGGCATGATGGCCAATGGATTTGGAGCAAACACATCTGACAAAGAGCCAAGTAAGTCCATTTCAGCATTGTTTGAAGTGGTAGGGAAAGCGGAGGCAGTTGGAGCAGATGTGGCTGTGGGGGCAGCTGTCATAAAAAAGTGAAAAGCATCAGTTTCCAGTAACGATGGATGGTTATTGCACAAGTTGCAGCGATAGCACCTTCATGCCTCATAAAATTTCCTATTCTCCACAACTACATCAAATTCCACGGTATCACCAAACATGGTCCTACATCACATGAAGGGATCCCCGTATTTCTTTTTTCTTTTAAGCTCACAAAGAGAATCAAACATTTAGTTCCCACAGTGCTGATCTACCAATAAGTTTTGGCATCATTTGATACAAAGCTTTTTCAAACAAAAATATGTTAAAATGACTAACACCTTTATGATGCGATTCATTTTTCTCAATTACATCAAATTCCACTGTATTATTATGGCACTTCACATGAAATCACATCCGCACATAAGGAATTCCGGTAATTAAACACTTGGTGCCCACCCAAGCCAGGTGTCAATCTAACATTGAGTTATAGCATCAATATTGAAAGTGATTTTTCTGTAACTAAACATGTTACTGACCAGTGGATGCATTCTTAGTTATGGTTGCTTTCTTTGAAAATGCAGTGCAGGGTGCAAAATTTATGCAGGAAATGATACATTGAATGCTGAAAATGTTAAACAGAACTCATACCTAATCAATTGCACAGTAAAACAGAGGCATGATGAGACAAATAAAAGTGGCCATTTTCTTTTTCAGTCACTTATCTTGATGATTCTACTCATGCTTACACTTCAACCACACAGAGAGTTATAAGACGCCAATTTTGAATATGTAGTGTAGTATTAGACATGTATATTTTGAACATGAAGGAACCTTCTATTTAACCATCCAAAACCTCTTTTTTGATCGAGCTAAATTACAGATAGCATTAACAGATGAAAAAAATGGTAGTTATCTTTAATCTTATAGACCAGCCTGCAATGCAAGGTAATAATTGCCTAAATATTTAAAAAATAAAGCTCAATTCTGCAGTTGTATATGAGTGCTACACATGAGAGAGTCCAACATGCCAGTTTTTCTATGATCGTAGCATTTAAAGGAACTTAGCTCCAGCTATTTTGGTTCCACTTAGGACTTAAGTTCATGCAGGCACTGAACATATTGACACAAACACCTAACTATTAAGAACACTGAACACGTGCACACCCACAGAGACAGACGGACACTTCAGTAAATAGCCTGAGCATTTAATTTTTTTCAATTCACTTTGCAACATAAGTCTTAAGATCGGCAAATAAATGAGCATCGCACTCATTTTGACAGTTAGTTTGTTTAGTCCAAGACTACCACAAGAAGTTAAATCCAACATGCATTAACGCCCCTGCCAGCATCCTTATTAGACAACTCCATCTCAACATACACCACAAGATTTCAAATGCAAATAAAGGACTGACTGTGCAATGCAAAAAAACACCAACATTGACATTAGAGAACAAGCAAACATACATGAATTAATGTACCTGAAACAGGACCACGAGGATCAAATTCATCAGCCGCCTCAACTTCCTGGTCTGCAGGAGATGCAAACGTCACAGAAGAAGTGTTTGCTTGTCCAGGAATGCTTGGAGGTGGAGAGGCAGCGTTAAAAGTAGGTGGAGAAGAAGATCTAGGAGCTGGTGGGGAAGAAGCTCCGGGAGCAGGTGCTGCTAAAGTTTCTCCATTCCTTTCAGCAAGAATTGATCAAAATTAACCATACGAGTAAGAGTGAAGAGTAGAATCATACTAAAAACCTGCTGTACAAAACAATACCTTTCACTATGAGCAGGGCTTCGGGATTCACTTACAGCTTCTTCATAGCTGGGAGGACCACCAATATTTTGCTCAGAAAATTTTCGTTCAAGCCGCTTGGCAATGCTGAGACATTATCATTACAGTCTTAAATCATCAACCAGCTTTTATATACAACTAAGCCAGCAATTCAGAAAACATCAAATGAAATTTACCTTCCGTCATGAGACTGATCATCAGCTCTAGCGCCACTGCCACTGCAGAAATGAGACAAAGCTCAGACGTGCTTTCCAGGTCAACCATATAATAAAGACATATAAGAGAAAGCAGAAGTTTAGAAACAAGCATGTCCTGCATTTCAGACATCTTAACATGGCAGAGTTCAATGTCCTCTTTCCCGTGCACCAAGTTGGGGCCATTTCATTTGGCTCCTGTTTTTAAAAGGATACCTTTTTCCAAAATAATTTCTTATATAAACTTCCCCAATACCAGACCCTCCATTTGATTATCATACTTTCTCCATGTTTAAATGAAAAAGGCAAATTAAATTATGAAACAATTTAAGATAAAAAGATTAAAAATTGAACATAACCCCAAAATCAATATAATTCTTTCTAAACCACGGAAGGTCCACTATGACAAAAGGAAAAAAGGAAAGGTGAAGGAAAAAAAGTACAAGTTTCTGATTTTTTTCACCCTTAGCATCCTGAACAATAATAATCATCAAATGTTTTATTTTCTAACTTTATTGATTGTCTTCAGAAGCATGATTGTCCAATCAATGATTCACTCCTTTTCTCTAGGAGTTCTTGTGTCCATAATTTAGTTAAAATGTACTACGGAAATTAAAAAAAAAAACTGTTAGAAGAAAGAACAAGAAAATTGAAATAGAAACTTATAATATCTTAAAATTGCCTACAAAAGCATTCGGTAATGCATCAATAACTTTTTATGAAGATAAATTCCAAAGGATAGAAGTCAGAACAATACCGAGATGAAGATTGACCATCATCATCAAAAGCACGATCTCTATCTCTATCTCTATCAGAGCTCCTGCTTCTTGAACCGTCACCATCAATGCTTCGACTTCTTCCCCGATAGTCATCATCCCTATATCCATCTCTGCCATACCGTTCTTCACCATAACGATCTCCATCACGACCATAAGAGTCCCCATATTTACCATACCGGTCATCATCCCTGTAGTTGTATTCTCTTTCTTTGCCATAACCATATCCATTTCGATCTTCATCCCTGCTTCCATAGCGACCATCATCATCGTATCCTCCTGTATTTGAGTAAGAACCAGGTCTATACATTCCACCAGGTGATGTGTTGCGAAATCTACCAAATAAAGAGTTCATATACAATGGTAAATATCAATAATTATCAGGGAATACTTCAGAAAAAAAAAAGAGTTATATTTCCATTCAATCACTTTTTGTTTGTGTTCTGAAATAGGAATGATATTGCAAACTAGATATCCTTAAAAATCAAGCATTTTGTGATGCCACCACACCATATGATCAAAGAAGTTTAACAAAATAATAGCATATTTAAGGTGCATAGTAAAGTGTTCAGACAACTGCCAACTGGGTTCAACAGAAAACTCACTTGTCCCTGTTAGCAGCAGCCTTCTGCCTAGCTTCAACTATCCTTTCTTTATCATTCACCAGGACCACAAGGCTCTGGGATTTCTTCCTGACATTGTTACCCTGGTCCTTTCCACTGGAATCAATATATTGGAAATCTGACAATGTCTGCAACATAATAGAAGAAAAATATTATTGCAGGTGATCCTAGAAGCATGAAACACACATCATTGCCAAGCAGAATTAAGGAACAGAAAATTACCGATATTTGATATGAATGTTCCCTTATCTCATCTATGACACGCTCTGATCCATTAGCAACCAGGTATTCCAAAACAGTCAAAGCCTGAAACCCCACATAGTTTTCAGTTGCTTGTCACCATACCATGGTTTGAAAGAGATATGGCACATGCAATAATATATGGTACATGTCATTTTGTAATGTCTGTATCCATAAAGAATTTAAAGAGCACGAATCTAACTGACAACATGTCATGAAATCAATCATACAACAGTCATCTAATCTGCATTTCAAAGAACGAGCATACACCATTTATCAACCAAATTCATCAAAGATTAAAGCAGACCTTGTAGACATGACGCCAATTCTTGCCAGTGTCATTAATTCGTTTCCAGAGAACTGACATGATCATCTGGTATTCATGACTGCATGAGAAGTTCAAAAATTAATTCCTCTGTATGAAAACAAGCATTGCAAAGCATCCACAAGAGAATTAATCAAGCTTACTAATTTCTGGAAGCCTGGGCAATATCTGCAAGTAGCGTTCCATGTGGACCCCAAGGTTCATTGCTGGTAGCATCAAGAACCTAAAAGGAAAAAAAAAAAAAAAAAAAAAGGAATAATAAATTTAATTTCAAATAAGTCCTGCACTAAATACTAACATCAAATGCCATTTTTGAACACAATCTAAAACCAATTCACAGACAAATAAGCTTTAAATCACTACAAGTTAGAAAATCCATACATCATCACATAATAACATCGAAATGAATCACTTTTACATTAGCAATCACATTTACGAAAATGGCAAGACAAAAATGTACCTTCTGTTCTATTGAAGGAACTTTAAGCACTTTCTTATTAACCTCTCTCTTGCTGCAATACAAAAACAAAGAACAAAACACAACATAAGTAACTGCAATAGAAAACCAGCGACATGAGCTAAACCAATTGGATATCAAAAGACTACGCATACGCGGACTTACATGTCCCTGACAGTTTGACCAAAGACCTTCTTCATTGTCAGCAGAAGAGTTGAAGACAGCAATGTAAATCTTAATCTTTACCAACCGCCCAAATCACACGATAATTGAATCAACGACGAAAGAAGTCTGTCGAAACAAAAACTACAGATCAGGTTTTGACAAGGGCAATGGAATTTAAATAGAAACAAATTTCTGCTTTGAAAACACATAATCATCACATAATAATTTAGAAATTGATTAACCCTTCAACAAATATCATTAAAATTTAGGATCTAATGTGAATATGAGGGAAAAAATCAGAAGAAATTAAATATTAATAAAACTAGAATAAAAATAAGATCTTATAATTTTTAGAGAAATGAAGCAGAATAACAAAATCTAATCAATTTGAATTGAGAAGTAAAGGAGCTGCTCACGTAAATCAAAAACAAGAAACGATGAAATCCGATTCGACTAGATTCGATTCGGTCCGGTCCGATTCGATCCGATCCGGTGGAGAAAAAGATGAAGAAAGCCCTGAGGGAATGGAATTCCGGCCTGATGAGATGAGATCTGATTAGCTCTGCTCTGCTCTTCGGGAATTCAGAGAGAGAAACCAACGCCAATCCTATGTTGGAGTTGTTGGGTTTGGTTTATTTTGTTTTTGTTTCGTTTTCTTTGAATTTTCTTTTCTTCTGTCTGTCAAAGCTAAAATTGGGAGATTTTACAGAGAGAGAGAAGAATCGAACAAAAAAAAAAAGACAGCGCAACTTACACGGAGAAAATTAAGGAGATTAATAAATTAATTATTTATCCACAATTTTGGTATTTTTATACAATTATTTTACTAATTAATTGCTACCGCTGTTTTATTCTCATCATTACTAAACTTTTCTTATAATTTTTTTTTCTTTTGAGAATAATAATGTTGAAGAGCTGGAAAGTTGTTTTTGCATGTTTTACTAATAATTTGTAAAGGACCGAAGTGGTAGACCCACCCTCTTGCTTCCTTTTTTATATACTGTTGTTTTTTATATTATTTTTTGCTTGTGAATTCAAAAGCATTTTCTTTTGTTTAATTTTGAACTTATAGGAAAATTTAATATAAATTTTTCAATTTAATATTTGTTTTTCTAAGTTTTTATCACTAAACTGGTTTAAGAAATTTTAACAGACGTGTATATAACATTGGATACGAATTTAGTTGAGTATTGATATCATTTTTCTTTTTTAATTGAGGTTTCGATTACTGTCCTCTTAAATCAAGTCCTATGAAAATATAATTTAGATTATAATTTTTTATCCTCTTCGTATATTTAGGTTAGATGGCAGAAAAGTTTTGTTGCAGCCCGTAGTTCTTAAGTGTTGATTTACTTTTCATAATATATAGAAAAACACTCTCTACTCTTTTTTTTTAAAAAAAAAGGATTTCTCGTAAGAAAATGAGTATTCTGGGATGATTATTCACATGATAATTAAATTTAATAATATCGACAACTTTGACTATCAAATTTAACAACATGGATAAAAATAATAGTTAAATCTACTTATGTTTTTTTTTTTAATTTAACATTTGTTATCTCATTATATTGGAAATTTAAGTAATATTCTATTAAGTCAACTTTGTCAATTAATAATGGTCAACATTAGAGGTTTCTGCTCGACCGCTCATTTTTTTACCATGTCAAATTACTAGAGACTGCTTTCTAATTTTTTTTTTTTTTTTTTTTTTTTTTTTTTTTTTTTTATGGAGACAACTCCATCAATAGCATGGTTAGAATTGAACTCAATCGGAAAACTATGATAAATTGAAAAATATGTGATTAGAACATGAGTCATCCTCTCCGCTTAATTTGACAAAAAAGAGCCGATGAACACATATGCGCACGCACGTGCACACATACGCAAGAACTCGGTTGATAAAATTGATAGTTAGCGAGACTCGATTTAGAAACTATATATAATTGGAAGACTTGAGTTGTGCCCCGTATTATTCTAGACGCCACCGAACCGGGGAAAGCCGAATGGTTAAAAAATTTCAAATCCATCGTACCCAAACGGACCACCTTGATAGAGAATCAAACCTCAACCTTCATTTTACCCCTTGTTTGGATAATTCCTTTTCGGAGAAAAGAAAAGAGAAAAAGAAAAGAAAGAGGAAAAAAAATTATTTTTCACTTGTTGTTTGGATAAGAGTGGAAAGGAAAGAAAAGAAAATACATTTCTTTTGTTTGGAAGATGAAGGAAAGAAAATGTATGATTGTATATTTACTATAATACCCTTGTGATTATATTTATATATTTAAATACTTATAATAAATTTGTATGAATATTTTTGTCATGAAAATAACACAAATGATGATAAAAAAAACTAGCATGTAGCATATATCCGAAATGATAAGATAGATAATGAATCGTCTTCATAGCATAACCGATGACTCGTTTATTAATTAATTAATCCAATAGCTAATTTATATTAATTATCAATATAAAATTAATTTAAATATGTATAACATGTATTATTAGCTATGCATATAATAAGTTAGTTGCTTTTACTCATCATTTCTCCGCTTTTTTTAGAATAAACAATTACTATTAAGCAATTAATATATATATATATATATATATATATATGTAACATTGCGAACAATCATCGAAAGTCAATTGAATCACAAATAATTTTTATTTCTTCTTTTTTTTTTGCATTAACTCCAAAAAGTGTTCCGGGGGATGTCTTAAGGGATATTTTGTGTCTATTTTGGAGGTTTTTTTGGTGGTTTTGTATCCGGTATGGGGTTGTTTGTGAAGCTTCTTTGGTGGTTCAAATGGCCTTTGCAAAGGGGTTGCTCTGTAACGGTTTTCGGGGTCGTTGGTAACGGTTTCGGGGTTGAGTTTGGGGGCTTTTCGATAGGTGTTGGGTCTGTTTTGGGGGTGGTTTTAGGCCTCATTTTTTATGGGTTTTGGGGTTTTTTTGTGGTTTTAAAGGTGGTTTTGGGGTGTTTGTGGAGCTTCTTTGGTGGTTCAAATGGCCTTTCCAAAGGGGTTGCTCTGTAAAGATTTTCGAGGGTCGTTAGTAATAGGTTCGAGGCTGAGTTTGGGGGCTTTTCGATAGGTGTTGGGTCCGTTTTGAGTGTTGCTTTTAGGCCTCGTTTTTTATGGGTTTTGGGGTTTTTTTGGGTGGTTTTGAAGGTGGTTTGGGGGTGTTTGTGGAGCTTCTTTGGTGGTTCAAATGGCATTTCCAAAGGGGTTGCTCTGTAACGGTTTTTAAGAGTCGTTAGTAACGGTTTCGTAGTCGAGTTTGGGGCTTTTCGATAGGTGTTGGGTCTGTTTTGAGGGTTGGTTTTAGGCCTCATTTTTTATGGGTTTTGGGGTTTTTTTGTGGTTTTGAAGTTGGTTTGGGGGTGTTTGTGGAGCTTCTTTGGTGGTTTAAATGGCCTTTGCAAAGGGGTTGATCCGTAACGGTTTTCGAGGAATGTTGGTAACGGTTTCGTGGTCGAGTTTAGGGGTTTTTCGATAGGTGTTGGGTCTATTTTTGGGAGTTGGTTTTAGGCCTCATTTTTTAGATGAAAAGTTATGCACTCATAAGCACTACCTTGAGGAATTATCAATTAAGCCTAATAAAAAAAAGTAATTACAAATTCATTTCCTCTACGTCGGTAATAATTCTTAAATCGGATGATGGATAAATGGAAACTCTAAATTATTTGACAAAGGAAGGATACGAACATCACAATAAAAGTTTACATCCATTATCCCACGTACTTCATATAATTATGTAAGTTATACATACACATTACAAATAATTATGAAAGTCTTAGCATCAATTTGTTCAACTACCATAATCAAGTTACATGAGTTTCTAGTTAAGTCATTACAATTTAAGACAACATCCACATATAATATCCGCTAAATACACTTGAACATCACAATACAACAAAAATTCAAGTGTGATTCGAATCAATTCCCTTGCATTATATTTCAGCAATTGATTGCACAAATAAGTAGCCCAACTGCAAATTAAAAAAACAAACAAAATTAAGGAAGCAAGCAGTGCACATTGAGTAACAATAAGGGAATAGTTTGCATAAATTTGAAACAATTGAAACAAACAACAAATTATACTCCAACTTGTGTATGATTAACTTACTTTCATCGACCACCTCTTTCAGCCATCACCTGTGTTAGAAATTCAAGTCTTCTACGACGAGGCAACCCAAAGAATTGTCTTGTAAGTGATGCATTATCGACCAAAAAACGATATGCACTCATTTGGAAGTTAGATTGCAATCCTATCGCCTCATGCTCGGTGAATATCTCATCCTCATGAAAAAAATTTTGACGTCCCCGTTCTAAAATTGTCAATGACCTTTATGCAATGAAGTTTCCTTCTTCAAGTATTGCATTGCCCCTTTCTAAAATTTCCATGACTTCTCCGCAATTGTATTTCCTTCCTTCATTACTTCGGAGACTCCTTTCATTCATAAACGTACCATTTCGGATTGACTCGAATTGCTTCCACCATATGAGATTTACGTTTAGTGCCTCTAGATGAGTTTGTTTCTTCGGAATTGGGCGAAGCTATATACTCGGGAGTATAGAAGCTAGCATTTGCATGGTACCTTGGCATTTGATTCCCCCAATTTGTTTCGCTATCCGATGTTATGTTATTATCCTCATTGAAATCAAATTGGCTCAACGAACCTTCCCTTTCCTACATCATCACCCTTTCTCTAAGCACTTGCGTAACCCTCTCCAGCTTACTCTATCTTGGCCATATATCTAATACAATTTATCATAGTTGTTGATTGGATGATGCATCCACTTTTGCGCTTCGGTTTTGCCTACACATTAAGAGTAATTTATCATATACTTTGCAAGTATACATATTAAGAAAAGTTATATATGATAGTCACCCGAATTAGCTCTCTCCAAACCTCGATACTTGCTTCAAAAGTCTTTATCTCGGGATTCCAATCAAATCCACTTACACCATGAAATAAGTCTTTCACCTCACTAAAAGCTATCTTCAATGTCTTTTGTCTATTCTTAATATGGT